ACGGTAAGTGACGAATTAGGGGACCTTAGTACTTTAAAAAATTGAAAAAGCCAGAAAATGCCCGAAAATCCGATTGCCGTTGCAGCAAACCGCAATCGTAACTTTTTCAGTAAAAAAAGTACGAACCTCAACAACGCAACTCAGCTGGAGCCTCCCGGCGGCACACGCATCTCGGCGTCGCGCGCTGAAACGGGTGAAGGGTGAAAATTTTTGAATGGAAAAACGGGTAGAAAATTCGCGGAGATGACGGGGGGAACAATCCGTTTTAGGTGAGTCACTTCTCGGCCCTCGGGGGCAACATGTATTAGTTTCGGAAATATAGCTTTTGGAAAACTTTTTTAAGCAAGGCTCGGGCTGAGGTTAGACTTAAGATTGGCAGAGGCTTTGCCTAGTTGTAGGCTTTGCTTAGATTTAGGCTTGGCTTTGGGCTCAGTCATCAGTGGGCTTAAGCTTTGGCTTACGTCAGGCTTAGGCTTGGTTGTAGGTTTGAACTTGTGCATGGGTTAGGTTAGGCGTAGGCTCAGGCTTAGGCTTAGGGTTAGGTTTAGGCTTGGGCTTGGACTGAGGCATTGGCTTAGGCTTGGGCACCCCCGGAAATCCGGTAGGTCGTTTTCCAACATTTGAAAACCCGGGCTCCCGCGAGTTCGGCTGAACTTTGTGAGGTTGCATTCGGATGCAAATCGAGCCCTGGATTCACTTTCAGGTCAGCAAACGGGCGACGGTTTCGGATATTCGATGGGAGGGAGGTTGGAGGGCAATGGGGAGAAAGTAGCGCGTGAAAGTAGGGGGGCTTTCGATCCTCGAGGGCCGATACTTTGGATGAGCAAGAGGTGGAAGTGGATTGAAGGGATGCAGAATAGAATAAAGAGGAGCATGAGGAAGAGTCGAGAGGGTCATCCTCCACTCAATTCGCACCTGGCTACAAAACCGGCCGATTGAGAAAATTTTACGAAATAGAATAAAAAAATTCCGGGACATTAGAGTTTCGCATGGATGTTGATTTTCGGGTTTTTGTCTTATCATAAAGAACTAAGAAACACTATTGAATCTCTTAAAGGGTTATTAAATGCCAAGATTCGTAATATGCCTCTCTAGGTATCAGATTTTGCATGCTGCTCAATTTCGTAAACTCTAGATCTAGCTTCTAAAGGAACCTTAAAGCCAGGCAATCGTACTTAACAAAATTTCACATTTTTGCGGACTTTTTGATGCGTGACGGGATCGGAGCCAAGTAGCTTTCTCGGCTTATTGAAGCTTCGTGTTTCGAGCCTTAGAGTTCGCTTGGTGTTTTGAGCACCACCTTTTTAAAACATGGGAGGAGATGGTTGGACATTGACCGGGGCGTTAATGGCACCCCGCGGAAACTTTATTTTACCTGGCTACGTTATGCTCCAATAGACAACACGTCAGAACGTGAAAAATTCGCCAAGGGGGCGCTAAACCCCTGATATCCAAAAAACATCCTGAAAAATTAACATTCAACTTCAGAGAATTGGAATATGGAGTATCAATATGCGGAAATCTAACACTTTTCCAAGAAGGATAAAGTGTGGCTGGTTAAAGGTCACCGGATAATCAAAAAAGAATTCCAGAAACGGCAAAATGATGCTCAACGTGCTGCGCCGGGCCAGCAGCGAAAATATTTTATAAAAGAGCTTTAAAACGGCATTAAAACGTCCTTAACGTTTTATTATGACGTCATTAAACGACGTATACACGATTTATAGAGGAGGTAAACCCATCCTACCCAATCGCCGATCTATTATAGCTTTGCTCGATTGGCCTACAGAGCGCTTGTCGTGTAACGTAAACCTCGACAAACGGAGGTACTGTAACAATTCATAAGCTATTTAAATGAGCGTTAAACTTGCCCCACCCTTTCCTTCTCCCCAATCCCCAGAAAGTAAGAGTCGGGAGGGTCAACCGGTGGTGGTAGTGAGGGTGGCCGATGGCCTGAGGGGGAGGTTTCTCCCCTCTCACCTCCGACCGGTCATCCTCAACCCCCACCGATCCTCCTGCTCGTCCTCCTCTTCCTAGAGGATACCCGAAAAACAGCCCCTTCACCTCAATAGGGGGTCCCGCGAAGCTTTCGCCCTGTGTGAGCCCCTTTTGCTCCCCGCGCGCGTCCCGAGCGGCCGAACCCAGGATCAAAGATTTGTAACAAGCCCCGATTTTCACGGTGCTGCTCCCCGGTTTCGTTGGAGAAAGCCGGCGGGTTCGGGCTGTTTTTTGGTGGCGTACCGTTCAGGTTATGCGAAAAAGTTGGTATTCATCAAAAATTGGGGATCGAGTTTTTGAAAACCTGATCGGTCGTGGCGATAGAAATGATTTTGGTCAATATTCAAATACCTTACACTAAAAATAATGTCATTGTCAAAAATAATAACATCAACCGACAATTGCACCGTGCTCAAAGTGATGTTTTTACCTTCCGCGACCCCCTGCGCGTCGAAATACGCTCAAAACTTTATTGAAAATTCGAAGTTAGTGTTTTGTTGGATATTTTGATCGTATTAGAAACGTTTGTTGCTGTTTTCAGCTGCATCAAAGTACCAGCAAAAAATTTATCAAAACTCAAATGATCAAAATCAGTTTGTAAAGTCGGTACATAAAATCAAAAGTTCAGCAATGATGCCGCCTCCAATGATGGTGATGGTGGTGGTGTGGTTGGAATTGCGGAGCAACATAGCCTGCCGTACCGTATCCGATGTAGCCGCCATGGCCCCAGTCATACCCTCCAGCTCCCCATCCTAAGGTAAAAGGGTAAGCATGATTAAATCATATAGAAGTAAGTTGAGTAGTAAGTAATTTGAGCAAGAACAAAAGCATATTTTTGTATACTACATATCTACGCAACGATCGTAAGATAGTATAGACATCGTAGCCAAAAAAACGTACGAGTCTTGAAGTGGAAGCCGTGGTAGTGGACCTTGTGGATCTTGACGTCCCCATGGACTCCTAGAGCCTGGATCGTCTCCAGAGGGAAGCGGTGGCGGAAGGTGGCCACGCAACGGTTATTTACGTGAACCTAAATATCATATCGTAATTGAATTCGTCTAGAAAAATCCGCTAAAAAATATCGAAAGCTATTGTTTATTCTGTTTTTCATTTCTCTCGTTCAACAAAACTCACGTCAAAGTGCGTCGCGTGCACATGGATGGACATGTTGAAGCTGGAGTCGTGGTGCCCAATCGGATTATGGACGCGTTCCTGGAATTGATAAGTTTAGGAGGTTCTAAGTCGGCTCAGACGGCTTGAAAGGCTTGGATTAGATGAGTAAATGATTCGGGATTTTGAATAATGATGTGGATGCATCAACGACATGAGCTTCTTTCGAAAACTTCCAACGCACTCGCCATTGATTTCTAAGCCCCATTCAAGCTAAATTAGCCAAACTAATGGCTTCCACGTTCCTTTAATGTTTAATGTTAATAAATCCAGATTACATACCTCGTACTGCCAGACCCCGTTGACACTGCTGTTCATCACCAGGTTGTGCTCGTGGTGTTGGAAGCGGAAGGACATGTGGAAGACGTGGTGAGGTCCCGACAGGAATTCCACGACAAAGCATCTGAAGCCAACTTTAGCTAGGAGACTTGCGTCTTACTTGTGATGTCCATGATGGAGATGACCATGCAGGTCAATACGAGCTCCAGGGATCACCTGCTCGTAGAAGGGCTCCACGAAGGGGACGCACTAAAAAATGGAGATAATGAGGGTGTAGAGACAATAGGCAAATACCTAGGATCAGGAGCTTGCCTACTGCTAAAATTGTATGAGCATCCGGTGCGTTTAAAATTAAATCCGGTCCAAAATTCGGGCTTGATCCTTTTCAAAGTTTCCACTTGCGGTCTTTTCAGATAATTGAAAGCAACCGAAGCCTAGAGAGCGCTTCGCTCTGCGTCATTAGAAAAACCTCGGAAATAAAAGACTATTAATGTTTTTGGTCCGAAAAGGGTATGGCTTTAGCTCAGGCTTAGGCTTGGGTTTGGGGCTTAGGCCGGTTTAAACTTTAGACCTAGGCTTACAAGGAGTGTTTTTTTTTAGTCATCGGCAAAACCTTACGAGACCTAGCTCATTCGATAGAGAATTTCATTCTGAGCAAGACCCCGTTGGCCTTTTTTGCGGAATGGCTAACCCTGATCTTCTAAAATTAAAAAAAATTGGTTTTCTCTTACCATGAGTGCCTTTCGAGCGAAAAGAGAGGCTTTCGAGTGCGGTCTTAAAATTTTATTAAATCAGGAATAGCCATTCCGCAAAAATGGACAACGGGGTCTTCTTCGGAATCGAATTCTCGATCGAATGAGCTAGGGCTTGTAAGGTTTTGCCGATGACTCAAAAAAAAGCACTCCTTGTTAGGCTGAAGGTCAGTTACTAACATCTACAAGATCACCAAAACTTACAGGATGGTGTAGCTCGTGCATGCCGCAGTGGTTGTGATGTCCGTGGTGGTGGTGGTGAGAATGATGGCCCCCTATCTTGAAGGAACCGGGCGGCCTACGCGCTTTTTAGGAGGAGTAGTATCTACGGGGTGGCGGCTTAGGCTAAAGGCCCTTTTATTCGGCTTGATATCGCTCCTTTTCGATCCCTTCCGTGATGACAAAGCGACCAAATAGCGGTTGGGAGGAGCGGGTCGAGTCACCGGGCAGTTTGGGCGCAAAAATCGAAGGGCCAGGGTTGATAAGGGGAGCATGGAGGCTTGACGTCGGGTTGCAAAAAGGGGAGGTGATTCATCGAAAAACGAAATTTAATAGAATTCGGGGGTAATTTTTGGTGCTGCTGTTGCGTGGATACGTATTCAAACGGCGAATCTTGCAATTTCCCAAAGAAAATAGGGTGTTTCTCTCTCTCTCTCTCTCTATCTATCTATCTCGCTACCTCTCTCCTAAATGGTTCCCGAATCTTTCGCAGGCTTGACAAAATTGCACAACAAAGCGTAACGCTTAATTTTTTACGAATTATTTATCAAAAACTCAAAAATTCACAATTGACAGATTTTACAATCGATTCACCGCCTCGAAGAGCTTTTTGGCCGTCAGCGGAGCGTCGAGTACTAGCGGCTTTTCCGGCTTCTTCTTGGCGATGATCGCCTTTAGGAGAGCTGCATGGACAGCGGTGGCAAGCATTAATGGAGGTTCGCCGATTCCCTAGATTGATTTGTTTTCAGGGAGAGAGAGAGAGAGAGAGAGAGAGAGAGAGAGAGAAAGTGAGAGAGAGATAGAGAGAAAGATCGATGCCCTTAACGTAGACTACCAATACCTTTGAGCGATAGATTTGCTCCGGATAGCAAGAAATTCCTTCAAGTAGCTTCACGCGGAATCGATCCGGGACCATTTGCACTGTAGGGATTTTGTATTTGTAAGCAGTATCGGTGAGGAGCTTTCCATTCTGGTCGTACGCCAGATCTTCGCACGTCATCAAACCGTAACCCTGGAGATAATTGGGTTTTCACTCGTTCAAAATCTTTCGGACACTTGCGGCAACAAGAGCACACCTATCGGCACCTTATAAAACTTGCAAACACCTGGAAATTCTGGCTAAAAAAATCGCTTCCTACCTGCATAAAACCGCCTTCGATCTGCCCAATATCAATGGCAGGGTTCAAGCTTTCTCCGACGTCCATTACAATGTCGACAGCGACGAGCTAAAGCGTTGTTTTTTCGTCTGATTCAAGCAAGTTACCCGATGTTCTCCGTTTGAGGTATCCAACTCCACAAGGGTACAGATGGCTCCAGAAGTGTAGTAGCAAGGGTCATCTTTGCCAAGGCCGTGCTGATCGCGTTCAATTCTGAACAAGATCCCCATCGGTTTAAAGTGAGCATGAGGATTCTCTCGAAATTCGGATTTAGTCATATTAGTATTACTACATTATAGTAAGAGCGTACGTCATAAAATACTAACTTCTGTTGAACTCACGTAATAAACTCGCTAGCTTGTAGCGGAGTCTTGTTCAAGTAAGCCTGGAAGCAAGCAGTATTCCAGTCCCCTTCAGCCTTCTCCAGGAACGGTTTCAGTCCAACGATCAGCTTGTCGCAACAGGCCTAAACGGATCGATAAAGCTCCTTCCGCGAAAATCGATACCTTGACAGCCTTTCCGTGGATATCTGCTCCTTGGCTTCCTCCAGTAACCGGAGCATTTGTCGTTTTGTCGGTTCCAACTTCCAGCAGGTTGATGCGGTCGATGGGAATCTGAATAGGCGCAATAAAAAAACCATTTTATTCTTAGGCTTAGGCTTAGGCTTAGGCTTAGGCTTAGGCTTAGGCTTAGGCTTAGGCTTAGGCTTAGGCTTAGGCTTAGGCTTAGGCTTGGAAGCTTAGGCTTAGGCTTAGGCTTGGGCTTAAGCTTAGGCTTAGGCTTAGGCTTAGGCTTAGGCTTAGGCTTAGGCTTAGGCTTAGGCTTAGGCTTAGGCTTAGGCTTAGGCTTAGGCTTAGGCTTAGGCTTAGGCAACAATCTTTACGAAAAAAGGCCCATAGCCCCCGTAGATCCGTTCTGGTAGTGGTCTAGGAGGGTGGCGAGTGGGGGGGGGGGCAAATTTAAACGAATGGAACGAAAATGGTAGCTGCACAAGTAGTACAAGAAAGTAGATGTAAGCACGGCAAAAAGCACAAAAGTGCGTATTATTGCCTTAACCTTCCTGGCTTCATGACACAGTCTGTTTAACCTACCCCTAGAGCCCTGCTCGCACACTGCTGGATCTTAACGTTCAACCCTTGACCCATTTCGACACCGCCGATCGAGATGGAGACCGCACCGTCGTAGCAGATTTGGACAAGAGCCGAGGCCTAAGCTACGTTACAGTACGTTCGACGTTACTTACAGCCTCTAAGGGTCCTGGGTGGGGCATGCCAAATCGAGTGGTGCCCATGGCCACGCCGCGCTTGATAATCGGGGAATTTCTGGAAATGCGGGATTTATCTTAGGTTTAGGGATAAGCTCAGGTTTCGTTTTAAATTCTGGCTTAGGCCACCTGTTGAACTCCTCGACGTCCTTCTCCAGCTTCGTGAACTCGGCCATCTTTTTGCACTCCTCCCAACACTCGAGCATACCGTCATTTCGAACCTTTGCTCCCAGGGGATCCAAGTCGCCGACATGCGCAAAGTTCAGCTCTTTGACCTAAAAACATATGACATTGTCGTGAGTTTTTAAGCTCTACCTCTTCAAAGCTTTTTCCCAAGCTCTGCGCGACATGGTTGACGATCGCGTCCATGATGAAGTAGGCTTGTGGTTGGCCGTAGCCTCTGGAAGCGGAAAAGTCACTCTCTTTCTCTTTCCTGTCTTTCTCTCTCACTCTCTCTGTTTCTATTTCTTTTTCTTGCTCTCTCACACCTGAAAGCCGTATTCGAGCTCTTGTTCGTTTTCACAGGATATACGGTAGAACGATAACTTGGAATTTTGAAGCACGTGGGGCCAAGCAGCCGATAACCTTCGTAACCTAAAAAAGCTCTAGGTTGAATTTTTATTTTCTTAAATACCCAAATCGAATTGTCGATCGACCAGCCCCCATCGACCAAAGTCTCGTAATGGATAGCCTCGATCTTCCCTGAGCTCGAGAAGCCGACTCTAAATTTTTGGAGTTAAGCTTTCAGGGTCCTGACAAACTTGTAAGAACACTTTGCCGGATGCCTCTTCCCGGTCATCATCACATCATCCTGTCTATGCAGCACCATACTAACCGGACGTTTCAGCTTGTGGGCAGCTAGCTAAAAGGGACCTTCAACGTTAAAGTAATCCATCCTACCAATGCCGGCCATCTTGCAAAACCGCATTGAGCACCAGCTTTTCCTCCAAAGGCTCCACCAACACGTCGGATCTAAAAAGCTTAATTGCACGCGAGAGAGAGAGAGAGACAGAGAAAAATAGTGTGAGAGAGAGAGAGAGTGAGATAGAGAGAGATATAGATAGCTCGTGAGAGGACGTGAAAATATCAAAGAAACAGACCTTCACTGTAAAGTTATTGCTCGGAATGCCGAGAAGCTGTGCAGCAGAAAGTTGCGCAAAAGCGGCTCCTTGAGAAGCGGTGTAGAGGATGCTAAAAATAGGAGATAAAGAACAACCGACGATAGCAATTACAGAGAAAAGAGAGCGCAGAGAGAGAGATAGAGGGATCGTCGCAAAGCTGAGACTCACAATTCGTTCTCCTCGCCTGGCACCGCAACGCAAGATTGGGTCTCCATGTAGATGTGCTCCTGTCCGCCCAACCCCACTTTTCCTGATATCTGGAATTCACAGGCTGCCAGATCAGCAGCTACGGCATCTTCTTCCTTTCCGAAATGCATCGCCGGGCCGAGGAGTTCATTAGCTTGGAAGCCATCCTGAACAAGAATTCGCTTAGGTGAAGTCGCTCCAGTTCGTTTTTGGAATTAACTTGTTGCTCCTGGCCAGAGCAGCAGCCCACCTCAACATCCAGGATCGACTTCAGCTTGCTGTACTCGACATTGACGAGCTTGGCAGCCCTTCTGGCTGTCAAGACATCGTTGGCAACAATCAATCCAATCATTTGGCCAACGGATTCCACCTAAACAGTTGGCATATCCGTAGTAATACTGCCGTTAGTTCGATTATCTTGAAGTAAAGTATTAAATGGCTGATATATCTTACTTTTCCAGCCGCAAACAGTCTTGTGTTGTCGTTCATCAAACAGAGCTGACCGGAGAGTGGAGTATTCGAGCCGCCAGCTGGGATGTCCTTAAAAAACTCTTTAGGTATGGTCGCCTTAATTGTCATCTGCCATCTCGATCCCTTTAAAATGTCTATAGAGGCACCAAACCTTTTCCTTAGCTAGGGCCCGAAAAATTAATTACCTTTTCATCGATGTAAGCCAAAACTCCCGGCAACTTCAAGGCCTCGGAAGGGTCAACGGAGATGATTTCGGCATGTGCTTCTTTGCTGAGAACTGGTGCTCCATGAAGCAGACCATCGAGTTTTAGGTCATTTACATATTTGGCTTCTCCGGTGGTGTGTCGGCCAGCAAACTGATGGGCCAAGGGACGTCCACATGCGTCGAAATCAGAGTCGGTGACTTTCTGAAAGCTACTGCTTGTTTTTCTCCCTCGCTCTCTCTCCTCCCTCGCTTCCTCTAACCAACCTGATATAACTGCAAAAACTCGAAATCATCCGCCTTTATCGCCAGATTGTGGTATTGGTCCGTCTTCGAGAGTCGGCTAGCCATATCCCGCAAAAATGACTTGACCATCGCGATCTTGAAATCAGCATCTGGGACTTCTGGATTGAGCGTGGAGCCCAGGCCGTAGCCCCACTCATCGAAGGTATCGGCTAGTTCGGATACGGGTCTAAACCGAAAATTTTTGGGTTTATCCCTCTCGCTCGTTTGCTCCCTTGCTATCTCTCTCTCTCTCTCTCTCTCTCTCTCTCTCACTGCGGCAGTGCAATACGTGTATTCTATGTCATTACCTGTCGAAGATCTTCTCCGACACAACCTTGAGCAGCTCCGATTTTTGGTTGAGACCGGCGACAAGTCGAGAGGACTTGATTTTGCCTGTAGAATATATTAGTACCGTTTAATAAGTCTTTGAAGCGACGAATTACGCATACTGTGCAAAAATTTACCGTTTTCCGTTTCCACCCTAAAAACGCTGTTTACGACACTGGCATCTGCTCCTCGGCGCTCACCATGTTTGTAGGACAAGTAATGGACATTTTTCTGTAATAATGAAATTAGTGTTTTCAAATTTTCAGAAAACTAATGACTCTTGCTCGATTGTGCCGATTGAAAGGGAGCATGGCATCAAATCCAGAGGTGCCTGAACCTGCCTTAAAACTAACCTCTTCTCTCGGGAATTCAATAGCAGTTAACACATCAGTCGGCTTCAGAATTGTCTTGCCCTCGGTATCGAACAACTGCTCAACAGTGATCTTGCTTCTACTCCAGTTCGCCAATGAAAACAGATGGAGCTGACAGTTCACTGCCAATGCCAGCGCGCAAAAGTCGCTGGTCGGGGAGGCTGAGCAGAGAGCACCAGTCCAGCTCTGAAAAATAGATTTAGGCTTGGGATTAGCCTTTGGCACAGGTATAGGCTTAGGCTTGGGCTTATGATTGGCTAAGGCTTAGGCCTGGATTTAGGCTTGGGCTCACGACTTACCGCCGTGTTTTTGACTTGCTCTGCCGAATATTTACGGAAGATACGCAGCATGTCGTCCGGAGCTGCCACATTTTCGCGTATGGCCTTTTCGAGTTGACCAATGCTCAAGGCGCCACCGATGATGATGCGATCTTCGAGGACGTCGACCTGAAAATAGCTTAAAAATTATTAAAATCTTAAACATCAGGATAATCAAAAAATGGCAAAAAAGCAAGGAGTAAATAACAATCTTCTATAACTTTTGCATACCTTTTCCATCTCGGCAATCCGATGAATGCTCAACCAATTGACTCTTGCAACGTTCGGAGTCATTCCTAGCACTATAAGAACCAGATTCTCGTAAGCGATGAAGCTCACCAAGTCTAGAAATCATTCCCGACGAAATAATCTTGAAATCCGGAAGGTTGCTCGCAATTTTAGCAACTTCATTGAGGCTATTTGGAGCGTGGAGTGTCACCCTGCCTCCACGGAGTGCCAAATTACGATCGGCTCTCCAGTCGTTTACCTAAAAAATAACCGGTAAGGGCGAGAAAGCGAGAGAGAAAAAGAGAGAGATAGTCGGACGACTCACCAATAGCTTCGGGGGGAAGATTATCTCCTGACTCGCATCATACTTGGTCATCAACCCAAAATCCGCCAGTTTTCCGGCTTGATTAGGGTTGATATTTTCTTGTTCTTTGCAAGGACATCCGCCGCCACCACCACCGCAGCATCCAGCTTTCGCTTCTCCGGAAAATGAATAGAACGCCTCGAGGATGGGGCGGTAGCCGGTACAACGGCAAAGGTTTCCTAAAGAATGTCGTTAGCCAATTTCCTGGATTTTTAGGGATTAACGATGATCCTAAGCCCAACCTTTGATGGCCTGGCTGATCTCATCCATTGTGGGTTCCGGGTTGTTTCTCAGGAGGGCATACATTGCCATTGTGAAACCGGGGGAGCAGAAGCCGCATTGAGTACCGTGACCTCGCGAAAGGCGTTCCTAAATAACCCTTTTTGACGCTGGTCTAAGGTTTTTTCTTATGAAGAGAAGAGAGAGAAGGAAAGAGAAAGTCATCTCGACACTAACCTGCACTGGATGAATCCGATCCTTGGAAATCCCTTCTACAGTAATAATCGAGCAGTGGTCAACCATAAAAATTGGGACCAAACAGGAATTGATGGCCTCGTAACTAAAACAAAATCTTAATGTAGAAAAAAGCATAAATAAAAATGATAAATAAAAATAATATAAATAAAATATCAAAGAAATTAAGATCGTAACCCTCTCACCGAACTTTCTTCGTATTCGGATCAATTTTTCCGACGACAACAGTACAGGCTCCGCACGCTCCTTCCTCGCAGCCAAGTTTTGTTCCGGTGAGTTTTACTAAAGGTCAAAACGTTGGAGGTTTAAGGGACGATGTAGAGGAATATAGTATGCTTCCAGATAAATCATCTCAAATAAAATGCTGTGAAAATTACGTGTATTCCGAATATAGTACGCCAACGTTAGCTCCGGATTTGGGTCGATCAAATTGATCTCTTCGCCGTTGACGAAAAAGTTTAGGCCGGTTGTCTCGCCCATGATTCTGAAAATAACAATTAAGAAAGAGAAAATAAAGATTGCGAACTCATTGGAAGGTGGAGTAGCCAAAAAAATCCTAAAATGAAAGATAAAAAATGTTTTGTCTGATTCGGGGTCAGAAAGCCACAGGAAAAACAAATATTTTTATGGGACACATTGTAGATACTGTGAATGTAAACTGGAAAAACACGGAACAAAACAAGAGTTAGGCACGCAAAAATCAAAAGGTTCCTGCAAAATCTATTCGTGCTTGTGCGACACGCATTAATGAAATACTAGGTGTATAAAATGGTAGGTACCAGAGGTCGAAAAATAGCAAAAAAAAGTGCAGATGTTTAAAAGTCTCGAAAACACGATAAAGCACAAAACAATTAACTCGTCAGCTCGATTGTTGTCCCGCGGAAAATGCTGCGACAAGTAATGGGCAGCCGACCAGAAAGGGATCCCGCCGCCCGCGACATTCCCCCAAAATAAATCCGATTTGATAAGGGGGCATGTGGACAGCCGGGAGGGGTTGTGCCCTCCTCGTTCGGTCGGAGAACGTTTTTGAAATAATTACGAGCTCCGGGAAAAATGTGACAATGACTACAAACTACAATCGGAGTGTATTATCAGACACTGTACTTGCCAGACTAAATTATTGCACCTCCCGAAGGAAAAGCTTTCCAAACTTTGTTCTAGACCCTCGTGGAGGTCTCGGGGTTAATGCCAACCTCAAACTTGGGTAATTAAACCGAACCCGTGGTTCGCTCGCCGCACTTACCATGCCTTGAGTCCAGGCGAGCGACGCCTGCAGGGCCGAAATTGCTGAAACGCGAAAATTTTTTGCTAGTTTCGAAAAATATTAGCCGCAATACGAGGGACTCTCGGGTTTCGTACGAAACTTTTTCTGGCACTATTTTTCATGCTCTTTCAGATGCAAATTGGGTTGGGTGTTGAAATTGCCTGATTACTCCGCAAAACATCCCTTGAAAGATGATGCAAAGCCCTCGCCCATACAGTTGCGTACAACGGACATACGCGCTATAAAAAAAAGGATAAAATTCAAGAAGCCGAGGTAAAACCAAGCTCGAGAATCTGGCCAACCCGAATCTCGTTTCGGAAAATGGTTCCTGCTTCCAATTCCGTGCAAAAAAGATCCGGTGCGCAGGAACCAAAAAAATTCTGAAGTTTCTAGAGTTGGTAAAGCGGGAAATTCTGTCTAAGGAAAGGTCACCGCTCGAAATGAACGCAAACAACGGCACCTACAAGCCATAAGCATCAAATTTCCAAGCTCAAACATTTTCGCAACTCCAAAACCAGGCAAGGCGACAGGATCGCGCCAAAAACCCGCTGGTTGAGGCCGCCGTGAGTGCAAAATTTGATCGCAGACCAATTTTCCGGGGCGATAGTTTGTGCGGGTAATCCCCGGCAGCCTGTCGTCGGTCTAATGGCCATTGAAGCGTTCAATGACCGTATCAACTCAGGGCACGCTATAGAAGACCGACTGTTTGCTAGGGACCGACTGTTACACAATTGTCTTTTTCGTTTCTCGGGCAGTGGCAGAAACCCCAAAACGGGTTGGCTTATGGCCTGTCAACAGGACAGAAACCACGAACGTGTAGGTACGATCAAGTTTTCGGATTCGAAATTGCTTAGAAAACGAAGGAAACACACTTCGGCTTCGGATATGGCTTTGGCTTAGGACTAGGCTTAGGAGTGGTTAGGCTTAGGCTTAGGCTTAGGTTTAGGCTTAGACTTAGGCTAGGTTTAGGCTTGGCTTAGAGTTGGCTTAGGATTAGAGTTGGTTACTGCTTAAGCTTAGGGTTGACTTGAATTTGTGAAGCCTATTTTTTGAAAATACTTTCTTTGCATTTCGTGAGAACAGTGTCCTTGCAAAAATTTATTATACGTTCAAATTATGGCAAAAAAGGCAAGGAAAAGGTGCAGATCATGATGGACTGAACCCGTGTTTTCAAGTCAATATACTAGAAGTCAATAATTGCTTATTCCTCGGCGTAGGTGTGCTTCTCGTGTTTGAGGCGGCGCATCTCGTTTTTCTTCTTCTTGGGGAGGTAGTCGACGACCATCTTGGAGTACTTGGGCTCGGGCTTTTGCCACTAAAATGGATTATTGATTTTTAAATATGAATTTTTGAGGTATTAAAGCCTGCTTTTTCCGGTCTGCAGAATCTGCGTATTGCCCTAATTTTTACGATGCCCGAAAATGAAGGTTACTTACGTAGTACTGAGGTTCCTCGGTCTCATCGACAGTATGCATTCCTTGTCGGTAATTTCGTCGGTCTCCATCTCGGCATGTGCTCGTGTAGGTGACGACGGTGTAGTCGACGATGTTCTCCTTCTGGGTGGGCTTGCACTTGCCACAGATGCAGATGACTCGTCCTTCCTCCTCGTAGTCATGGGGTCGGGAGTGTTTCTTGGGGCTGAAAAGAATAGGTGTTCAAAAGCGAGAGAAAGCGAGAACGAGAGAGGGAGAGAGAGAGAGCGAGAGGGATAGTCACAGGGTGAGAGAGCGAGATAGTGCGACTCACTTATTCCATGTCCTCAGCTGAGTCCTTCCAGTCTTCGAAGCCTTCTTTTTGATCTCACCATCGATGCTCTCTTGGAAAGTCTGAGCTGTTGCTCCCTTCAAGTGGTAGCGCTCATCATAGTTCTTCGATTCCTGGATCTTTTGTCGCTCCTTCTTGCTGAGGGCCAGCTCGACGTTGATGGTGGAGAGGGTTGCGCGCTGAAACTAAGTATGTTAAGGGGATTGTGAAGCCAGGCTTCGGCTAAGGCTTAAGCTTGGGCTTGCGCATAGGCTTAGGCTTAGGCTTAGGCTTAGGCTTAGGTATCCTTAATCCTTACCTTATATCTGGGCAGCTCCGAAGCAATAATCTCGGGCAGTTCCCATCGGTTATTCTTGTTCAACGAGTATTCTACGTTGAAGTCCATTCCGAATTGATCGTGGTCCTGAAAACCCGTTTTTTTTTGGAAAGTTATCAAGCGCTAATTCAGCACCCTACTACAGTAATGTTTAGGAAACGATACCTCAAAGGGTCTTCCCGACCGAGAGGTCTTCACAAGCAGCTCGGGGCCGAGCTTCCTCGGCTGATTAGCGTGATGCGGGTCCCGTTTCCGGGGGTGCATCGGGATTGCGGTTGCGGTCGGATACGCCATTTGGCTCCTATGTACAGCAGACGACTATACTGAAAGGCATATAATTAAAAACTTGCGTATGAAAAGCAGGAAAAATAAAAAAATCGGAAATTTCCCTAACCTAATCAAATCAATTTCCAATGTCGCTTACGTTCGCTTACGCTTACCTAAGCCAATTGAAAAAAACTAATTTAAATTTTATTACCTAAAGCCGAAAAAAATCGAAGCAAAATTGCCAATTTTTTATTAGTAGAAAATTTGGGAGCTAAAACCAAAAAAAAGAAATAAAATGTGTATTTTTAACAAATATTTAGTAGCCAAATTTTGTAAAGGTAGCTAAAGGTAAGTAAAGTAATATTTGAGGTATTGTTGTGCTGTGTCACCATTCCTCCTTACCATATATTTATACATTCACTGCCCCCGCCCAATGTTGTGCAATCCGGTGTGGGGTTGGGCAGCCACGGCTGGTGAGTCAGCCGCCAGAAAAACGGAAATAGTGAGGGAAAGGAGAGACGCGGCGACAGGACGCCGGTCCCAAGAACGGCGTTTCTCAATTCTCTTACTTTATCTATGTTTTCATGACAAATGACGTATTGTTAAGGCAATTTCATAGCGTAATGTTTTTCATAATGGGTTTTGTTGTGCTTGCGGGTACTGAGTTACATTAGCAACTTTTTAATTTGTAAAATGAGAAATCCATTTTTTTATTACTGTAAATGAACCGGCTAGGAATCGCCTTCTCAATCCCCCATCTTCATCTGGGTATTTCCTTAGTCCGCTGACGAGTGCTTAAGGTAATTTCAGGGCGTAATGTTTATTGGATCACCTGTTTTTGCTTTCACACTAGAGTGAAACAATCTTAAAATTTGAAAAGCTAGATTTTGGGCTATTCTAAATTGTTGCCACGACGCCTTTTTTCTTCATTCTTAACCCTCGAAATACTTTTTTTTCGATTTTTTACTTTAAATGGCTCTGCAAATAAAATTCATCACTCTGAATAAGCATAGGTAACGACCTTGTCGTCTGCTCATAATTGTCAGTTCATGGTAGATTTTCCCCAAGTTGAGAGTTTAATTAGAAAATTACACATTAACGTCTGGACATGCGCGACTTTTATGAGAGATTTTTGCAAATGCACGTCTGCTATGACAGATTTATGCGGTTTTACATGCACGCATTGTTAAAATACTGCATTGAAAATATTGTAAGCAAAAGGTTCAGATCACGAAAGATGGGATCGAATTCCTAATACGATTCATAAATTTCCTTGTCATGCCTCAATCGCCGCATCTCGTTCTTCCTCTTTTTCGGCAAGTACTCGACCACCTCCTTCGCGTAATTATAACGGTCTTTCAGGTCGCGAGCATGGACACCGTGACGCGAATTTCCATCGGCTTTTCGATTAGTGCTTGTGTATCGGACAACGGTGTAATCGACGACGTCTTGTTGAGACGGCGTGAGGTTAGAGGCCAGATGATCTTCCTTGACGTGATCGTGCGGGAGAGAGTGCCTCTCAGGACTGAAATTTACTGTCGGCTTGTGAGAAAGATAGATAGATAGATAGAGAGAGAGAGAGAGATAGAGAGGGGAGAGATATAGAGGAGAGAGAGAGAGATACCCACTTATTCCAAGTCCGCAGCTGAGCTCGCCCACTTTTCGACGCCTTCTTCCTCGATTCACCATCATCATTTGCTTGAAAGGACTGGGCAGCGGAGCCTAAAATAGCTGGTGCGGTTACGGTAGTTTAACCCACCTCTTAAGTGATAACGCTCATCATGATTTTTCGATTGTCTGATCTTCTCCCGCTCTTTCTTGCTGAGCGCCAACTCGACCTTGACAGCCGCGATTGTAGTTTGCTAAAAAAGGATTATATAAACTTTATTATCTAAACTATATTACAAAGGTAAGCGCAAACCGACGACAATGCATAAGCATCAGCCTAAGTTTAGGGTTAAACTTGGGTTTAGGCATAAGCTCCGTCTTAGACTAAGGAAGGCTTAGGCCTAGCTTTGGATGCGCCAATAATTTGCCCACCTGATCAACGGGGAACTCGGAGGCAATGATATCGGGCAGCTCCCATCTGTTATTTTTATTCAACGAGTACTCCACGTCGAAGTCCATCCCGAATTGATCATGGTCCTGAATCAAAATTATTAAATTTTTAAGGACTGGCTTGCAGAATTGTCCCAAATCTTACCGCCAAGGGCCTTCCCGACCTCGAGGTCTTTACAAGCAGCTCGGGGCCAATTTGCCTCGCTTTATGTTTTGGGAGCGAACTCCTGGTGCGCGCTTGCGTCCGGATTCCAGATGTTGACGTCGCCATGGGGCTGTATCGAAAATTATAGCAAAGGGGCGTTATAGAAACGGCAGTTAATGAAATCGGAAGTTGTTTGGCTTGGGCTTACAAGCAGTGGCTTTTTTATGATCCTGAAGATTCGAGATGGGACCGAGTCTATCTGTGCAAAATTTTGCGCTGATTCCGGATTTTCCTACTGTTTTTGTGGATGGCCATTTCTCGCAAGCTAGACACGATTTAAGTCCAACGATTAATATAGTTTTTTTTACTGATCAAGATTCGCTAGCTGTTTTATTGATCAAACCTGTTTCGAAGGATTTGATGTCCCTCAATAGTAGCTGATTTTTTTAATTTAAATCGTTGATAACTGGCGAGAAATGGCTATTCCGCAATGATCGTAGCGATATTCAGAATCAGCGCAAACTTCTGCACAAAATAGGCTTGGTCCGATCCCGAAGTTCGGACGATAGGCGGTACTTCGAAGATAAAAAAAAGCCAATAAACGAAGTTGTAGGCAGTGATCTGAAATCTTGTGTTATTGCGCCAATCGCATCTTCCCAAACACTTTTATGCTTGACGACACAGCTGGTTGGGCCGAGTTGTGCAATACCGATAGTGCGTTATTGTAACCAAGGTAGTGATTCAGCTTCCTGTTGGGAACTTGTTGAAGCAACAAGATACAAACTTTTATCAAAATCCGATCCCCGGAAAATGGGATAATCTCCTTCTCGTTTGGCTGTTGTTTGGATCGGGCATCGAATTCTGAAAGTGAAATAAATGTTTGATTGAAGCCGGTATCTACCGAAAAGGTCCTCGTTGGTCTTGCGCCAGATCCGGCCGACGATGAGGTACCACTCCGCACCCGGTCCAGTAGCTTATTTCTTGGCTTAAAATACAAAGTTGAAAAACTGACAAGGTATCCAAACCAGTGGGTGTATCCTCGTTTCCGGCATTTGGAAGACGGATGGTCTGAAAATAAACTTAGGCTTATGCGTAGGTTGACTACATCGATTGACTATTGCTTACTTCCGATCCTTGCCAACCAATATCCCGATATTTTCTTCCACTACAGATTCACCGCTATCACTTTCAGAAGCAATCGAATCTTTTGATCTCCTAGTATCCAACGTAATTTTCTTCGCTAGCGTCGGTTTTGGCGAAGGCTTGTCGCCCATCATATTCTCGAAAAAACTAAAGGATTTTTCCATAGCAATACAAAAACACACGCGAAATGACGCTGATCACTGAAGGAGCCGGTGACGGTCTTGAAAAGGTACATAAAAATTTCGAGTAATGTTACGCAGCTCATTCCGAGGAATAGACCCATGCTGCCGGCGACGTAACCTGACAATAGAGGCATTGGAGGTCGAAAGAATTCTACGAATGAGAAAAATAGCTCGTAGCCAAGCTAAGTTAAGTTAAATTCAGTAAAAAATCGTACTCAGCAAATCTGTTGCCTGGAACCGTTTGTACTGCTTGATCCTGACCAGTTTGTTGGAGGGGAAATCGATGATGATTTCGGTAATATTACTGAAATCCTAATTATGTCTTGAAAAAATACCTACACTTTTCGTGGCGAGCTCTTGACATAAGTCGGTCGCTTCACAATATACCTTGGCCGATTACACTGCGGCTTACACTTGCACGTCGCGCCATCCAGTGGTTTTCCGGAAAAAGTAGCTGTTAGGGGAGAGAAAGAGATAGAGAGAGAGCGAGAGAGAGAGAGAGAGAGAGAGAGAGAGGAGAGAAAGAACGGCGCAAACCCTTCTTGTCAAGGTATCTCTGAAGTTATCTTTAACCGTATCCACCTGTTCGACACCTATTCATCTTTATTAAGGTGCAGGTCGTATTGCCAAAGTGGTTGATGTGGAACGGTGCACAGCCACATCCTTTCAAGAATTGCGCCGCTAAACAGTAGCGGAAGCAGTGGGTGAGGGTGTAGTCGTGTCTAAAAATGTTTTTGGATCTACGAAAAACGTATATAATTCCATACTTTGCTGGTATGCTTTTGTCCCATTCCTTGCTGCACGTGCCCCATGAGCCAATCTCGAGGTAGTCGACCTAGAATTGTGGGAGATTTAACATGGTTGTGGTGTAATCCTGATCCAGTATACTCCGGAATCCTTACTTCCGGATCTTTTAAACATTTAAAAACACTAGCCAAAACGTTTTCCTCGAATTAAATAGGGCTAGTAAGCACGAGGACCTGAATCGGATCATAGATTCGACTGCTTCTAGTGCTGCTGGAACACGAACGAGATCATCTTCAAAACTTGAGCTCAGGCGCTAGTGAAAAGCGATGCGGCCGTCGTTTGTTTCGAAGCATGTTTTCGATACCCAATGAAAGTCAGGGGGTTGAATTTGTTGCTTGCTAGCCCATTTAAATAGCTTGAAATCCGAAACTCCCTGCCTGGAAACTCACAATATTTGGGTGTACAATCATGTGAGCCGTCCGGTTCGGCGGTACGTGAATGCCTTTGGCGCTGATGCTCGGGGGGACGAGGCGGCTGTGCACGTGGACAATGACGTTCGCTGAACTGAGAACGGTTTTCTGGGTGGATTCAGGCTTTCCTGACTAGATTCGTATTACGGCTCTATTTTTGGGGGCAGGACAGCGTGTTTATTTCGTCAAAGCCCCAGGATAGGCCTAGAATTTTAATGAGGACGATCTTAAAAACGGTGTATTATTATTCTCGGATAGAATATTTTTCTTCGTCGAGCAGCCGTACCGACCAATTTAATATCGTAATCAAATTCGTTTTTGCCTAGGAAGGCCTCTGGACCAAATTCGTATTGTGAAACTGTTCTTGAAAACGGAAATCGTATTTTTCTAGCAAAAACCTTGTTGCACGCCTTGAATTTTAAGAAGCATTATCTTGAAAACTTCTGCTTATTGCTTCTACTGCTGCTAGGTCTATTTACATCTCTCCCCTATTTCATTACATGACGTAATTGGACCTGTTTTTCGTCAATTGGTTTCGATTTGTCATATCTATGGGTTGCAGACTCGTACTCCAATTTGGCCTTGAACTTTTGTTGTGAGCAACGAAATCAGGAGATCACGAGATCGCAAGAACTATAAGTTGCTGAGGAGGCTAGCGGCGACACCTTGAGAATCGAATTTTACGTTTTCAATGGCTAAAGATGTTTTTAAGGTTTTAAAACCTCGAAAGCGAATTTATCCTACTGTTTTTCATCCGATTATCTTCCAATTTTCTTTTCTCCAAAGGTGACGAATTTCTGTAACGCCATTTACGATCGGATTTTGAATTTTAATCAGGATATTTTGAGAAGAAAAACCCACATTTCGCTCCCGGATTCCGCACCTGGATTCGCACACGTTCGTTCGGCCTCTTCGTAGGCCATCTCCCCAACGACCAACAAGTCCCATATTCGGTCATGATTTTCTGCGCATATTTACACGGTTCGATGCGCGAGCCGCCGACCTGCAGTGACGAGAACAGCTCGCGACAGGCCAGGCTGAAATTTGAACTTTGGAAGGGCTCGTTGTGGCTGAAATTTCACCCCGGAAAATTGTAGATCACACCTAGGATACGGTGTATGAGCCATTTTTAGCCCCTTCCCAGTTTAAGAACAGCGTTATTTTTCAATATTTCCTTATCACGTTGTATTCCGATTTTCAGGTTTACCACATTTGTTTTTGACCTCTGACTGAATTTGGGCCGTTCGGCGTTCTTTTTGGAAGTCACACGCCTATCAAGGGCTTGAGAATTTGTTTCTGATCATGTTGGGGTGCATTTTTCACGTTTTTTTTTTTCTGGGTCGGTGTGTTTAAGTAGTTCAAATTCCCATCCAGATTTCAAAGTTTTATTAAACGAGAAATAAAACAAGGCACTGAGTATTTTTGAACAAGGCAGAATTTTGTTTGTCAGACTCTCACAAACCTCTTAAAATTTACATTTTTACATCTTCGCGGAACGAAAATGTTAAGCTAGAAATTGTGCTTTAATGATAAACCATAACGCTCCAAGGAGCTGAAATTACGCATCTTTGGTTCCGTAAGAAAAAAACCTGTAATTCAAAAGTTCGACAGCGCTTTGGAGCCACCATTGCATTGCAGCCTATCAAACAAAGCCTTTCGAACTAACTAAATGCCGTTCCGCATTTAATTTTCGTGTGCCCTCTTTCTCTCTTTCTCTCTCTCACTCGCTCGCTCTCACTCCTCTCAGACGATTAGTGCCGTGCCCGTAAATAGTTAGGTCGGCGCCACCCAGCGCCATCGGCTAACCATTGAAAAATCAGTCCGGAAGGGAATGGGATGCTCTTTGGGATTGGATTTCGTCATGTTTTTCAGCTATGCCCACAGCTTTAAGATTCTTAGAACAAGGCTTAGGTTTAGGCTTGGGCTTAGGCTTAGATACTGGCTCAGAACAGATATTTCCAAGGCAGACTTTAAAAAAGCTAAAAACGTTGTTAACATTTACAAGCTTAAGAAAGCACGTGAATAACCTAACTAGTTTTGTCTAAAAAGGCCAAAGTCCGAAAAGTTCTTAGCCACCAGGGTTGTTCATTTTGCGTCCGGTCCGCGTCCGTCCGCGTCCGGGACGGGACGCGTCCCGTCCGTCTCATTAGCATAAAATTTTGCGGACGGACGCGGACGCGTCCCGGACGGACGGGACGGACGCATGGCGGACGGGGACGGGGAGCGTCCGCGCGTCCGAGATGCAAATTAATTCATGGTAATCTTAGAATGAAAACCAGGAAGTTCGCAATTATTTTGCAGGTTTTGCGGTGAATTGGATTTTACTGGACAGTAGGTTGCCATGTACAAGTAGACATGCTAAAAACCAGACCCTACCAAAGGTTTTACGCCCAAAACTGAAAAACTAGGCGCTTCGTTATGATTTGAATCCGGTTTTCTCATTTGCATCGCGGACGCAGTTATTTCCGGCGTCCGCCGTCCGTCCCGTCCGTCCGGGACGCGTCCCCGTCCGTCCGCAAAAATTTATGTAAATGAGCGGACGGGGACGCGTCCGCGTCCCGGACCGTCCGCGTCCGTCCGCGAACAACCCTGTTAGCCACTATAAGAAAAACAACAATAGGCAATAAACGTTCCCGTCATGCCACCCAACCAAAATGACTCCCCCAAAATGGGCACGAAATCGACACCGGGCTGTGCGTTGCATGCGATTCGGCCCGGAACGGGGAGTGGGGAAAAGTACGTGTGTACCCCGATGTGTTTCTCAATCTCTGTGTTTACGCCTTTGTCTCTAGCGCTTTCTGGCTATCTCTCTCTCGCTCTCTCTATCTCTCTCTTTCTCTCTCTCTCTCTCTCTCTCTCTCGCTCTCTCTATCCCTACCTAAAGCAGCCAATGTATTTTGTTTACCCTTGCTTGCCGGAACCCCTCCAATGGCCCCGCCCCCTTTTTGGAGATGCATCGTGAGAGGCCAACAAAGGGTGTGTGGATATTCCACACTCTCTTTCCACTAGACACCTATAAACAACCATCTCACATGGGTCTTTTTCCGCTCTGGATCCATCCATCAAGTGACGTTGTGAAATCAATTGATATCCGATTTTGTAAAATTCGTTTGATACTATTTTACTACTTCTAATTTTGTTTTCAAAACTTTGTATCTTGCTCGGATTTTCCGCTAGTCTTTAAATTACTGTTATGCGATTTTATGAAATACGCAAATTCCAGATTAATTTTCTATTTTCTGTTTTTCGGTTTTGGGAATTTTAATTAGCATCTGAAATTCTATAGTTCTTCGCTTTTTGGTGCTTTTTAGTTTTCGCAACGCTCCAATTGACGTATATAATTTTATGTTTTTTCGAATGATAGCATAAAATTGAAATCTCAATCTCGATGCGTCAAAGCTAAATTCCTTGCTTTTCTCTATCCTACTTTCTCCTGAAAATTCCAATTCCACCCCACCGCAATTACGTAACACGCCTGAATAGGCAATCTCGGGAAAAGGCCAGATCGAAAAATTGGAGGGCAAGAGGCTATTGCATTCATATATTCAATATTTTTGAAAATTATTTAGTCCACCTGTAGTTTGTGTAGATTTCTTCGACCGAAAGCTTTTTGTGAAGTCGATTCATGATGGCCCTCTCCTTTTCGTCCAAATATTCATGCCGCAAAATTCGCGAGATCACATTCACCCCGTAGTCGGTGAGGTTGTACTCTAAAAAAATTAAATAAATATTCGCGAATTTTTGAAGCGCAATTTCGCTCTCTGAATTGAATCTGTCTGTTTAATTCTTTTTGCAAATTTTTCTTTTTATAAAAATTTATTTTCAACATTTTTCAGATTTTTCGCTCTTTAAAAGTCGACCAAAATTAATTTTTCGTGTTTCGCTTATTCTCGACATTTTTATTGCAATCCCGGGCTCAGTCAGCCGATTTTCTCGTCAAAAATTTTCTCCAAAAAAGATTAACCCGGCGGGTTACCATGGATTTTGGAGGGCATTTTTCTTGGACTAGCTGTTCCGGTCTCCCCGGTCAGACAGATTCATTTTTGGATGAAATTATTTTTCTTGAATCGATCCATGAGTTTTTCTAACATCAAATACACCTTTTATTTCATCAAAAAGTTTCCGAAAGAAACCGCAAAGCCGAAAAAATTTGAAACTTCAAAAAATTAAAATTTAGCTTTTCCTAAGTTGTTTCTGACAATCAGGTCTTGGACGCCTTTTCTTTAATGCGTATTTCCAGTTTCTACCGTAATCCCGTAAATTTAGAGCTGAAAAAGACTCACTTTTCCACAATTTATCCTTGAACCCATTCTCCCGGCAAACCGTGACATCCGGTAAATCTTCTCGCTCCATGATTTCATGGGTAAATTTCCGGAATGTCGGTTTAGAATGGTAGAATTGGAGCATTAGACCAGACTAAATACTTTATATTTTATTTGTATGACTCCTTCTATTATTTTAAAGCTTAAGCTTAGGCCTTGGCTTAGACTGAGGCTTAGGCTTAGGCTTCGGCTTCGAAGAAAACTTACATGCAAAATAAACAGCACTAGGCAAGTCACCACAACCAGCGACCAAAATATCCGACTAGGCCAGGTATGGGAAGAGTAGATACGGATCTAGGACCCGATTTTGTAGTTTACTTTACTTTTGTAGCCGCTTACCATGCCGTGATATGTGGTCAATGAAGTGAATTCTTTACTCTCGTCGTCATAGACGTGGAGCACAATTCGGTGCTTGGGTTCTTTATAGAGGATTTTCTAGAAAAATTGGCTTACTAGATTTCAGGTATTTCCTACCTCCTCTTCCTCATCGTGCATATTTAAAAAATAGAAAGATTAGAAACGCACCAGAGAAATAAGAATTTTCCAAAAAATCGATGCAAGCAGCAGCCGGCAGCCCGTCTATTCGGAATGGCTTATCAGGGGGCGCGAATTCCTCCTTGAACATTTTTTTGCAGATTGGGAGAGGAATTACAAGGAAAAAAAATTCGAAGTAGATTTGGATTCAATTGTCTTTAGAAAAAGCTTAGGCTTAGGCTTAGGCTTAGGCTTAGGCTTAGGCTTAGGCATAGGCTTACAAGGAGTCGTTTTTAGGTGATATTGGAGTTTTTGAACGAGACCTAGCTAGTTCGATAGAGAAAAAAATTCTGAACAAGATGTCGGTTTCCAAATCTGCTAACCGTGTATTGTATTCAATAAAAATTAATTTTAATGAAAAAATTCCTGGACGTCAGGCTGCGACCCATGGATCAGGCCCGGGACATAGCCCACAGCGCGAACCAGCATCCGCATGAGATCGTGGCCTAGTGGATAGTGCCGGCGCCTATCAAATTTTTGCAAAATTATGCCCAGGGTTCGGAACTTTTTGTGATTTATTGTTTTGCTTTTTGGTTTTTCATGCCATTGGAATCGAATTTGGCATTATTGCGCAAAAAGCAAAGAGTTTTACTAGCGTGGAGTCGAACCCGCTGGCAAAAAAGACAAAAACTTATGAAGCAAGCGCACTACCAATAAGCCAGCTGGTCATGGCTGGAGGGAGGCCTAAAGAGTGCTATGTTGACGCGCACCCAGAGCGCCGAATCTGCGGATCAGGCGGAAAATGATGGTTAGATTAATGATTTTCAAATTAATTTTTATTGAACAGCGTACACGGTTAGCAGATTTGAAAAACGACATCTTGTTCAGAATTTTTTTCTCTATCGAACTAGCTAGGTCTCGTTCAAAAACTCCAATATCACCTAAAAACGACTCCTTGTTAGGCTTAGGCTTAGGCTTAGGCTTAGGCTTAGGCTTAGACTTAGGCTTGCTACAAATCTCTTTTCCTGAGATGTATTTTTCTTTGCCTTTATGCTATCCTAGTGGGCCAGATTCGTGGCCGTGGGTGTCGAGGCTTAGGCTCGTAATTTCACACCAAAATTCTGCCGATTTTTCCGATTTCCTTCAAGCTCCCATCGAACGCGGTAAGACCTTTTCACCCCCGATTAAACCTCTGCCTTCTCAACGGCGGAACTGGAAGATTTATCTGGGCCAACCTCAGGCCCCAGAGAGACCCAACCGCCACTTTTTGTGTAGTCGCGTATGTCTGCCCCACGGAAAGTTGTGTATCTTTCCACAATCTCCACCCTCTCCCCTCAGCCATCCCTCTGCTTACTTCCAGATCTTTTTCTGAGGGCCACATGCCCTCCCGGGACCGGGTGAAGGGAGAAGCCCTTTTGCTAACGATCTGTCCCGGCTGTTAGGGCAGATTTTCTTCCTGATCATTTGTTAGAACGGTTTTTCTATTTTTTTTTTGGTTTCTTTGATCAGAGATTTTTGTGTTTTGAGTCGTTCATGGTCTTTTGGAAACTAAAAAATCAAGTTTTGCGTGATCAGAAACACGAAAGAGCAGTTTAACAGGCAAATTCCAACAGAAATTTGTATTTTTGTAAAGGTGAAAACCCAGAAAAGTCAACGGTTTTTACCGGAATTTTACTCAATTCTAATTTTCCGCAAATGTAGCTTGTAATAGTTTTTCTATTCTATTCAGCAAATTTGTGTTTTAGTTTTGATCAAACCTTAGCGTTTTTCGCCTCTGTTTTCAAGTTTCTGAAAATTCTAGCGTTCAAAGTTACTTTTTGGAAGCTGATCTTGTTAATTCTAGGATATACTGCCTTTTTGGAGTCGTCTTTGGAGCTCATTTTCATTTTTCAACTTATTAAGCTGTTTTTCCTCTATTTAATACATTAAATCATACCAAGAATGTATACCTGAAAACTTTTTTAGAACTCTTGTTGCTAGTCTGAACACTGGTTTTTACTGCTTTCGTAACTGTCACCGCGAATTACCTTATGTAATCTGATTTTCCATAGTTCACCCTTGGTCAATTTCCATAGCTATAATCCACTACAATACCTTCCTAACAACATCTTTTGTGTTGGCGACGCTGGCCGCTTTCCCGGTTCCAGCCGCTCTCCCCCTGTGCCCATATTCCCCGATTGGCGGTCCTCTCTCCCCTCTCTCATAGCCCGGGTCACAGAGGCGCCCAACACCCGCTTCCGTGGCGCAATCGGCAGCGCGTTCGGCTGTTAACCGAAAGGTCGGTGGTTCGAACCCACCCGGGAGCGTACTTTTTGCTTTTTGGGGGACATGATTGGTTATCGTTTTCTTCAGCGTTTGCTCCGATTTCCATTGTCTGGCGCTATTTTCTTTGCGTTGTAACCCCTTCACTAATTACTCATTTGCAGCTCAGATGGAGATTGATCACCCCCGATTGAGGCGTAACAAAGCGACGACATTTTTGCCGGACAGTGAGTTGCGAAAATGATTTTAGAAGACGTTGTTTTTAGAAGTATTTGACCTAAGCCATGCGTTCGTCGTCCCGCTGAAACACGTGCCCATCGACGGGCTGATGGCCTTGAAAAATTGCAGTGAATCGCCGCTTGCGTAAGTGGTTTTTGGACTTGAGCTTTGGGAGTTGAGGATGGCAGATTTGATCGTTTGACCGGAAAAGTATCTTTGGGCTTGAAAAGAACTGAATACGATGCCTTTGAGACCTAAAACGGTACCTTAATAGCTCAAAAACAAAGCTAAAAACTTGTGAGGTCAATCTGCCAAGACTATCATCAATTACTTAAAATTCCGCCTTCTCCTTGATTTCACGATTTTCAGTGACATCAGTATCCCGGTGTGCAGCAGCAACAGCCCTGGCCCCTCCTCACCAAAGGGTTCGACCGCGTCGGCTGATGGATCGACCGGGGAGACGGACTACAAGACCCTGACTTCACTTCCGCTCGGTATGCCCGCACGGTTTCCCATCCACAAATCATACTCGGTGACCTTGTTGTGATTCGGATACTCTAAACAGCTCTAAACAGCTGAGCTATACCAAGAACTTGCTAGCAAGAACTGCTGGGAGCCATGAGTCTGGCGGCCATGATGGGTGAGGTGGATTAAAGCGGTTGGAAATGTTAGGTTAAGGACCTTAAGCGTTAAAGCACGATTTGAACATGTGATACAATGTAGTAAGTAGTCTATTTCTAATTATGTGTACTAAGTGGGGTAGCGGGGGCGGAAAACCTTAAAAAATGACAACGTTTTTGTCAAGTATCGACCATTTTGCTCGAACAATCGATATCTTTGATAATTTAATACAAATTTATAAAGTTTTCAGGAATAATAAAAAAACATAAACGCTGTCCTATTTATAGTTAAAAAATTAGCTTTTAAGAAAAAAAGTTATTTCCGCTTGATAATGCGAAAGAACCATCGGACCAGACTAGGCGAACCTGGCCCAAAACCACTAACATACTGTAACTACGCAAAAATACAAATGACCGGATCAAGACCACCAGCGACGTTAATCAGATTACCAGTTGGGCTGAAAAAGTATTTCTCAAGTAAAGATAAGATAACCCTGCGAATTCTCAGCTGACCAGCAAACCCGTATTTCCTGCAACATGGATCGCTTTTCAGAAGAGCCAGAGATGATGTACACCTACTTACTTCAATTGAGTCAATGCTACGAGGCGATGGCCCCCAATCAGAAAGTGGTCGCTTTCACGAGTGATATGCCCGTCCGGAAGGCTTTTTATGGGCTTGTATATAACTGTAAGCTGCCGTCTAACTTTTCTTTAATGTCGTTTAGCTACAAGAACTGGGTTAATCGTGGATTCGGAGAGTTACAACATTATTGGAGTCCTGTCAGTCACCGATTTTGTCATGGTTTTGATGAAATTGTGGAAATATCAACAACAGGTTACCAGTGAGTCCTATTCATTTAGTGGAAAGGTTGAATAGTACCTTACGATACCTAATACCTTTAGATGGCGACAAAAACGAAAACGTCACCACCGAGAAGCTGACCGACCTGGTCGGCTGCATGCCGGTGGCGCGCTGGAAAGGTAATTCCGGCGGTAATCACACGATTGATGGTGCGCAAGTTTTGATTATACAGTAGTTTAGTGTAGATAGTTTAGTATAGAAAAAGTAGGCGACTAGAAAGTGCGCTAGAGGCTCTAAGGGTCAGCGCCAATGGTAGGCCATCTTTCAGACCTTGGAAAAAGATTTCTTAACTTACTAATCCTACGTAGTTGTAGTGTAGAAAAATATTACGAGTCCGACCTTGCTCAAATATCCTTTTTGTAGAGCACCAAAAACTGGACGGCGACTGCTACCGGGAGTTTATTACGGTAGATGTGAAAGACAGGTGGGAGTTCGATTATGGAAAATCTCGGTTCTGGTTCGTTAGCGGGGGAGGGCCACGTTAACGAGGTTTTCAAAGTGTCATTATTTTTTGGCGACTACATCACAAATTCTGAAATCAAGAAAGTTATAACAAAAGCAAAAATAGTCCTGAAAATGGGGATGGCTTTTCTGGATTTTCGATATTTTTCGACCTTCTGGTGTTCGATAAAGCATCATAAAATATACTAAAAGTTTTATATAAAACTCCAATAATGTAATTTAACGTAAGAGAAGCTATTGATAAAAATGTTCCACCAACGGATAACCCTCCCCCCCGCTAACAAACCAGTTTTGTAGTCTATTCCACGCCATCGAAATCCTCCGAAAACGGAGAGTTCATCGTCTGCCTGTTATGGATTCTGCCACAAATGACTGTATGTTCATCCTGACCCATCGAAGAGTGCTGCATTATTTGTGGAACTTTGTAAGTGAACTTTCAGGTTTTTTTAGCTGATTTTTAGTGCCTCCTACTCCCAAAGCCCGACTACATGACGAAGAGTATAAAGGAGTTGAAGCTGGGCTGTTGGGACAATATTGTTTCCGTAAGTGTTTGGGCATTTTTTTCTTTCGTTTTCGAGTTTTCGGGTTCTGTTTTTCTACATTCAAAGTATCGTTTAAGGTTGACGAATCTACCACCCTCATCGACACCCTCGATCTCCTCATTGGTGAAAAGATCAGTGGGGTTCCAGTTGTCCAAAACGGCACTAAAAAGGTTGAAAAATCGCTCAGAATTATATAATTTTAATTAGGTCGTAGCAGTCTACACCCGATTCGACGCAATCGCGGTTGGGTTTGATGAAAAGTTGCAACAGTTGAATATGTCGGTGGCGGAAGCAGTTGAGGAGAGGAGAAAACTATTCGTAAGTATCAAAACCTATGATTAAGCCGAAAATTTTAGGGTGGTGTTTCCGGAAAGGAATCCGTGGTCACTGTGCAAGAAGATTCGACATTTTGGAGTGTCCTCGAGACGTTCATCGAAAAGAATGTACATAGACTATTTGCTGTTGATGATGAGGGTAGCCTAAAGGTAAGTTCGACTGCTTAATCTGGGTTTTTATTCTTTAGCTCTCAAAGAGTAAAATCCTCAATTTTCAGGCTGTGATCTCGCTGTCGGACATGATTTGGTACATGGCCATCCGGCCGGACGAGGAAAAACGGGCGAACAACAACGACAAACCATAATTTGTGATGTATTCATGTCATAAACTCTATTCAATTTGCTTCAAAGTATTCCAACGCAAAATGTGGCGCGAAACCTTTTCAGGCACCCAATTTCGTGTCATTTTCTTGCCACGATGAGCTGGCGTCATAACAATAATCAGGGCGCGAAATCACATCAAATTTGTTGAGGTCGCCGGGATGTAGGACGCTGATGTTTCAAAGAATTCAAAGAATGCTCGATAAAGACCTGACTATTCTTAACGACACAAGACGATTTTCTTTCGGCGTTGAAAGATAAGCATAGTTTTCTCGTATTCGAGCGGAAAAATCGAAGTTCAAAACTACAGAGCTCTAGAGTGGTCTAGCGTAAACCAACAGTATAAAAGATATTTTTTGCATAACTTGCAAACTCATGCAGCTGGAGGTCTCAAAGCTTTAGAGAACAATTGAAATACGTTTGGCCTCTCTTGAAAATGGCATGTGGCGAATGGCGAATGGCGAAATGCCAGCGTGGCCTTTTTTATTGGGATACCCTATAGGTGTGAATAGCCACAAAACCCCATAAGGTATAGTAAATTTATTAAAAAAAACTGTATCCGGTTGACTCCAGATGTCTTTCAAGCAGTCCGAGTCGAATTCGAGCCCTGGCCGGCGAAGATCTGGCCCTGGGCAGGCTGTCCTCTCTTGGGCCCGAAGTTGACGGCGCGAGGTCGGGGAGCACATCTGAATGTTTTGAAAATAGGGAATATCCGGTTCCTCTTACTTCTCCCAGGTCTTCTTGGTGGATATCTGAGACTTGACGTCGAGGATGACGGTGTCAAAAGGGTACGAACCATCCGCCACTTTTTTGAGGAACACCTCGGTGATCAAGTAGCAACCCTGGAAAAAATGGTTTTTCGGCGGGCAGAACTTTGCGACTTCATTAAAAATACTCACCTGCCTCGTGGACCCGCAAGTGTGGTGAATGTGAATCTTGGGGACGACGCGAACCCATTGGTCGGTTGAGGCATTGAAAAAGACCTGCCCATTCGGGAAGTAGTTTTCCGTGATGAGGTCGTCAAAAGAGACTAAAGTAGTCGATTAGGTTCAGGGAGCAAGGAGATAAAACCCATCCGCGAGGGAATCATAGTGCTTGGCGCTACTAGAAATGCGCAATACGCATTCCGATTTTAAGGATTTAGGTATCTATCGAAAGCTCCCGGAAAGGCGAGAAAACAAGCACCGAATGTGTTTCAATAAAGGCGATTTAATTCACGAATTTTTGGACCAAAATCCATGAACACTGCATGACGACGCAGATTTTACTCTTTTTTTAGGGCATTGTTTCATAGTGTTTCTTTTCGGAATTGTTGTTTTTTCTTTCTAAATGTCAAAAACCATAATATTTCAGTTCGTAATGTCGAAATTTCTCTCTGTTGAATTTTCATAACCACGAAATTTCATAATGTCGAACTTTACATAAGCTAGTTTTCCCAGAAAAACTCTCGGAATCCGATGCAAAAATTTTGACATTCTGAATTTCAACATTATGCCATTTTGACGTTATGAAATTCCGAAATCATGAGATTCAGAAATTATGAATTTCGGAATTATGATTTTCGAATTATGGTCCCGCTATGACGTTGGCGACGCTATAAGCCAATCTTCTTCAACTTTCCAAAAAAAAAATAGCCTTACGGTAGTCATGATCGTACAGCTGGACCAAAAGATCCTCATCGCGGAACGGCTTGCCATCGGCCGTCTTGTTGCAGGTGATCAGGCCCTTGGTGACGATTCGCTGTTCATAGGCTTTTGAATAGTGGAAGGACACGGCCAGCAAGAGTAGAACTGTAACGAGAGCCATCGCTCACGAATAATGAGGTGGAAACCCTTGGGGCGCCCTATATCATGTCCTATCGACGATGCGCTGGCGACACAACAATTTCCTGTGGGACGCAATTTTGATGTTTGAAAAACTTTTTCGAATTGTCGGGATGTAAACATAGGACGTGGACAAGTTAAGATGACGATATTGGTGGGCGGCAGACGTATAATAAAATCAAGAGACGCAGCGACGTCAGCTTTTTGTAGATGCTGGTTTTTGCTTGGTTTTCATCACGTCAAAAATTATAATTCGAGAGATTCTAATGATGAATGAAATGATTTCTAAACGAATGAGGGAGCAAGAGACTAGAGATATTTTTTAACTCTTGAAAATAGTTTTTTGCATAGTGCATCGTTTTTCTAGGTCCACAGGCTCTAGGTTCAAGGCTCCATAAAGTTACAGTTAGTTTATGATGGTATAGCCTCAGTTCGTTATTTAGTACCTGCCATAGCCAAACCAGTCGATAGAGCCGCAGATACCCACGTGGAACCTGAGCTTCTCGGGTTATTTTTTGTAGCTACTAGTACCAATCGAGTCGATAAAGCTTTATTTCCAGAAAAGTATAAGGGTAAAATGAGATTTCTCGTGTTTAAGCGCAGTTGACAGCTTTCTCATCAGCCTGGGCAACGTCCAACGTCACATAGGTCATGTCGTAGACGCCGTTGATCTTGGCCTGGGGCACCTCGTAGCGAGTGCGAGTCCAGCAGCCCTAAACCTGGGGGTGACCATCCAGTCACTGGTAACCCACCTCCTTCTTGACGCGGCACTTGTGGTAGATGAACAAATAGGGCTCAATTGTTCCCCACTCGTCGTCCTTGCCGAACACGTTAAAATTTCCCTGGTCGTCAGTGTTGACGGTGGCGAGTTTGTCGTCGAGGGAGACTGAAAGATAGCGGATTTTCGGTGGATAAAGCTTTCTTTATGCCTTTTAAATAATTATGGAAGTCTTCGAAGAGGAAAGAGAAAAAAAGGGTATTTTGGGAGTTTAAAAATTCTAGATACCTCCATCCTCCTCCATCAGCTCGATCTTCAGGCCGGGTACTCGCTTCTTGTTGCAAACGGCGATGCCCTTGACGGTGATGTTGGAGACCTTGGCGAGTGTGATGCCGAGGAGGGCAGCGAGGATTAGCAGCTTCATAACTAAAAAAAACAGGATTGACTTTTCTTGGAAGATCTGGACAAATAAAGCGGCATGCAGACGAATTCGCAGCGAAATGCAGAGTTAGAAATGTTTTAATTGAAGACATTTGAAAGCCGAAGATTGTGTTTTTGGCAGCTAAGGGGGAGACAACGAGGAAAGCTAGGAATTTAGCAGGTTAAACTTGTCAAAAACATTGGTAATACGACCCGATACTTTACGGAACTGTTTTTATTTAGGGTAAGATGTTACTACTTTACTGCCTCAGCCGGAAGTTCCCTAAAGTTTTCCGCTATTGCTTTGTTGTTTTACATTCTTAGGGGCTGGAATTAAGACCCTTAATATGTTTTGATGTTCTATCGAATGATCTATCAAAATCCCAACAATATAGCGGAAATCTCGAAAATTCTTGGAACTCCCGGCTGGGGGTCAAGTAAAGTCTAGCAGCGTTTAGCAACGCTTTTTGTCTAGAAAACCAAATTTTGAGTACCTAATTCGTAAAACGGGAGTAATATTAAAGTTATGGACGTAGAAGGAGCCTAACCTTCGAAATACTACCTGCTACTGTACCCAATTGTTGTCTACCCTTCCCCACAAAAGTCAATCGACGGAAAAAGCGATCAAAATAAAGGGATGCGGGGGGCTGGTCGGGTAGCCCCCTCCTCCGAAAACTATCCCCATCAACTCATCAACTTTTGTGGCGATGGGATATCATCATTTTATATCCCCAAAATCCCTCCCCCGCGCTCTCGAAATGGGATAAACGCGACACGGCAATTTTGAGAATGCCCGACGCCCCCCGAAAACGCTTTTCCGGGAGTAAGCGGGCAAAAACAGTCTGACTCACTGGGGCGATTGAGTCGATGACAAATGGGTGAAACTGACACGTATGGCGAGTTTGAGCTCTCGGCGTGCGCGAATGGGCTTCACGTTTTGCGGCCGCGCCAATTATTTTTGGGTCGAAGTGGGGAACTACGCGAATTTGGACTTTTGTGTTACTAAAAATAACAAAATTGTTTTCTTAAGGAACTAAATTTCAAAGCTCCAAACCTTCAAAGTCCAGTGATAATTTGAACGCGCGGTAATACGCCATGTATGTATCTTCAGCTCACACCAATTCAAATTGTATTCTCATTAAATGCTTAATCACTCGTTTACTTCACGCCGCTTCACGCAATTGATCCTATCCGCACTAGCGATGTCCAGAAGGACGAAGTTCATGTCATAGACACCGTTCAGCTTTCTGGGCGGAATCCGGTACTTGCTGCGAATCTCACAACCCTAAAAATGTTCTGCTCTAGAAGTTCCTGATGCGAAGATTTATTCAGAAGACACTCACCTTTTTAACGGTCCTACAGTTGTGGTAGACGTTCAGAAAAGGCTCGATCATTCCGAACCGCTCCTTCCTGCTGAACACTTCAAAGTTACCCTGGTATGTGCTGATGGCAGAGTTCAGCAACGCGTCGCCATTAACTGGAGAAGTTTAGGCAAGCTTTTAGGGTTGTTTTACTTGTAGATTCCATCAATTCAACCTTTATCCCCGCCATCTTGTTTTTCTTGCAAAGGAAAATTCCCTTCACGGTGACGTTTGCTGGGAGGTCCCACGCGACGGACGCGCCGCATATTAAGATGGTTAGGATCAGAAACTTCATCGGAAACCAACGATAGTAGATACCAATAAAATCGATGGTAGAACTGAAAACTAATGGAAAAAGCAACATACTTCTCCTCCCGCCTGGGGCGGGCGGAGAAATAGACTGTGCATACTACCAAAGCAAAAACGGAAGGTATCCGAAACGAGGGAAGCCTGTAAACGCAACTTCTTGGCCAAACAAATGACCAAAGCCTTTTTTTGCATGGTTAACGCTAGATGTTGTGGCTGCTTTCGTGTCCCTTCTTCAAATCTGAGGCGGACTCGCTTGTGCAAGAAATGTAAAATGATTTTGAAAAAGAGCAGAATTTTAAGTACCAACTTGATTCAAGCGTGGCCACGTGGATTCTTGGTTGAATGTCTCTCCGCGACCAGAGTTAAGTTAATTTTTATTCCAGGACGCGTCGAATCTTAGCGTTTTTTAGCGGCGCTTCACGCAATTGATCGGCTTCTCATCAGCGGTGGCGATGTCCAGAATGACAAAGTTCATCTCGTAGACGCTGTTCAGCTTGTTGGCCGGAATCGGGTAGACGCTACGGGTTTGGCAGCCCTGAAAATTAATTGTTCTTGATTCTCATGCTCTGACTCGAAAATTCTAGCTGAGAATTCAACTTGACGTCACTCACCGGCCTGATCGTCCTGCAGTTGTGGTAGATGTACAAGAAGGGCTCAATCTTGCCGAACTCCTTCTTCTGGCCGAACAATTCGAATTTGCCGAATTCTTCGGTGATGGTCGAGTTCAGCAGGTCGTCGGTGATTACTAAAAACATCAAAAATTCACATGCTTCTAAAGTGTATGCTTTTTTTGTATATTTTCGATAGGTTAGGGGTCTGGATCAGTTACATAGAACTTACCTCCGGACTCCATCAAATCAACCTTGATGCCGCCCGTCTTCACGTTTTCGCAGGCCACGGTGCCCCTCACGGTGATGTTCGACTTGGTGTCGAACAGGGCGACGGTGCAGCCGAGGAAGGCGGCGAGGATGAGGACCTTCATACCTGAAAACAAGGGTGGACTGCGGGTCTGCTTGATATTAATGAATGAAAGCGGAGGTATCTGACAGGAAGGCAGCTTCCTGAAGCCTTTTTAAGCGCAAATCTGAGCCAGCCCCCGAACCAATCAAAACCTCTTGCTCATCATCAAAGCCATTTTTATTTTGGCTGAGAATAGATGTTATGGCTTCATGTGACGTTCTCCTGACATCTCGAAAGCCTTGGAAATTGTCTTTGGGCAACAGCAAAGCTACGGGATTCCAAAAAGGATATGAGAAATTCGGCTTGTTCTACGTAGTTCATAAGATATAATTCCAGATTTTATTCACGAAAAAAACGCCTGAATGATGGAAATTGAAGCTCCATCTTTAGGCTTCAGGGATTATTGACAGTTCACAGCTGTTTCATCCGCAGTGACGACGTCAAGAATGACGAATGTCATGTCGTAGACGCCAAGCAGGTCACTTTGCGGAACGGGATAGACACTGCGGGTTTGACATCCCTGCATCAAACGTTAGAATTCTTGTGTTATTGGACCACCTGTCTGATGGTCCTGCAGTTGTGGTAGATGTACAATAAGGGTTCCAGCTCGCCAAATTCCTTCTTGTGGCCGAAGATAGTGAAGTCACCTTGCGGCGTGCTGGTGGTCGAGTTGAGCAGATCATTGGTGATAACTTAATGGTAGCTGTTATATCGCTGTGACAGGATTTTTCAAACTTGGTTAGCTATATTGACAATTCATTTACGTAATAGCGTATAAGGTTCATGGTAAAGTGACCTCCAGTGCTCATCAGGTCGATCCTGATTCCGGGCTGGCGCCGGGATTGGCACACCACGGTTCCAGTGACGGTGATGTTGGAGCTGGTTTCCCATTCGGCCACGACGAGGCAGAGCAAGGATGCAAAGACGAGCAGCTTCATACCTGAAGAACGCAGTTACCATTCTTAATTAAATATCCTCGCGAGCATTAAAAACGAAATAAAAGTGGCAAAGTGAATTGCCATGTGCTTCATGCCCTTTTATGCAGTTCACCAGCACCACCGAAACAATTTTCGCAGCTAGGTGCATTAATATTTTGGCTAATGGCGATGATGTTATGTCTTCTCATTTAAAAATTTATGGAGCCCTTTGCGGCACAAAATTTGAGATAAAAAAACTATATTTTAGTTGATGAAAATTTTGATTGAAATATCAGGGAACAACTTTTGGGAATGCTGCATAAGCACGAGACGGCTAGTTTTATCTGAATCTTAAATCTTTACAAAAAAATCTTACAAAAATCTCTTAAATCTTCACAAAAAATATCGGAAACATATTAACTTTTGTAAGCCGAAGTCTTCTGCCGTTTTAAGCCAAACGTTTTTGGGAAAGAATATAGGGTGAAATCGAAACTCAAATCGTTTATCAAAATTTTCGCACGAAACGGATTTATTTGCAGTTGACGTCCTCTTCCTTGCGCTGGGCGACGTCGAGGTTGACGAATGTCATGTTGTAGACGCCGTTGATCTTGTCGTCGGGGATCGGGTACGGACTGCGGAGTTCGCAGTTCTAAACGGCATTCATCCATGATACTCACTACACAGCATCTTAAAACCCTACGCCACACAACTTTTTACCCGCTTACCGGCTTGTTCCGGCGGCACGCGTGGCTGATCCGAAGGTAGGGCTCAATGCTTCCGATTTCCCATTTCTCACCGAAAATCTTGAAGTTGCCCTGGAGATCGGTGCGGGTGGTGTTGAGCGTCTCGTCCACGAAGACTGAAAACGACAGCATTTTAAAATTAAAAATTTCGAATTCTTATTTTTTAAAAATTTTAAGAATGAAAAATAAAATAACAAATTGACATTTAAATTTTTCAAAATGCTGTATGGGACGATTTACCTCCGGCCTCTCTTAACTCGACGAGCACGCCGGGGATACGCTTTTCCCCGCAGATGACCGTGCCGATGACGGTGATATTGGAGTAGGACCTGAAGTCGAACGAGGCCAGCGCGCAGCAGACCAAGGCGGAGAAGATGAACAGCTTCATTTCTGAGGAAAAATATCGTGATTGGAGAGAGAGAAAGGGAGAGAGAGAGAGAGAGCCAGAGAGCCAGAGAGAGAGAGAGAGAGAGAGAGAGAGAGAGAGAGAGCGAGAGAGCCAGAGAGAGTGAGAGAGACGGAGAGGGGGGACAGAGAGAGACAGAGGGCGAGAGACGATAGACACAGCGAGAGAGAGAGAGAGAGAGAGAGAGAGATCGAGAGAGGGAGGGAGAAAGAGGGAGAGGGAGAAGAGCGCGAGCGAGAGGAGAAATGCAGATTAAGAGGATGGAGGAGCAAGACAATGGCTACCGGAATTTTTCGCGATGCCATTTTTGCATTATAAAACCAAAAGCGCAAATTTGAAGAGCCTCCATGACAAAGACGACATTCTTTTCCAATTTCGACAGCCTTTATAAGGAAATTGCCTGACTTATCAAAACTTATTATTCACATTTTTGGGGCCCTTATTTTGACTCTTCCGTATCGTGACGAATGTTATGTCTTTTCCCCAGATTCGCAAAAAATCTAATGAAATTGCGCGCCCTCGACATTTCAATTTCCGGAATCAACATAGAAATTTATTCGAAAAATTTCTCTACAGGGCAACGAAATAGTCGTAGCCGCCTTGGGTTCCGTCCTCTTTTCGCCGACGACAGATCGTTTTTTCGTCGTCTTGATAGAGCTAAAACGACAAATAATATTAGTACTTGTTTACAAAATCAATGTATCTGAAATCGCCCTATTAAGGACGTAACGGATACTTCTAAAACTCGAGGATACAATAGAAAACTAGAGCTAGAAGCGATCTTCTGAACTCACATCAAGCGGTATGAACGACATCTCGTACGTGCTGTGGACATATTCCTGCGGAACGTGGTATCTCACGACCTTTGAGCAGTTCTAAATTTAATTACCGACATCTCATTAAACTTTTATACCTTTGGCGCCAGACAGTTGTGGTGGAGGAGCAGGAAGGGTTCGATACCACGCTCGTACTCCCCGCCACTCACCAAAAAGTTGCCGTCCTTGGCGGTGAGCATTTCGGCGAGCTTGTCGTTGTAGCTGACTGCAAGATTGGCAATAAATAAAGTAGCAGCAGGAACAGAAATTTTTTAAGAGATCTCTGCTAGCTAGCCATGTAGGTATGAAGCCCGCGCTGGGTAATAGAAAATTTTTTAGAATCGTATGGTCGTCCGGCCAGCTTAGGCAAGCAAATTACATCCGGAATTTGCGTAAAATCTGCCGTTTTGATGGACATTGGATGGACATCAAAAAAACAAAAAGCACTGGTTTCCTCGCCTTTCCGAAAGATTTCGGTAGATACCTAAATCGGGAAAAAGGTCACGACTGCGGCCCGCTGGAAGGCGTAGATTTTTTGGACACACTGTTCGGCACGAATCTTAACCAGAAACGACAAATGCGCAGAAAGGAGTAATGCGCCATCGGGATTCCCGCAATTCGAGACTGCCCAAACCCTTCAGAACCTAATCAAAATAACCCACAAAAATCGCGATCATACAGCTCGACGAGGACGTTCTTCATCCGCCTCCCCTCGCAGATGACCGTCCCCTTGACCGTGACATTGGTCCACGGCACCGCCACCACCACGGCAAGACAGATCAAAATACCAAGAGCCCAAATTGCCGTCGAAGACATTTGATTTCGGACAGGCCAAAATCACAAAGAGGCGCTTGGACCCAGAGCATAGGCCGGTTTTTTGCGTTGAATCAGGGGACGGGGAGTCAAAACAGTGCGGGGTGAAGCCGAGGTGAAGCCGCCGGGTGTGGGAGGATGACGAGGTTTTTGGCAAGGCCAACGCGGGGTCTGGGCGGGTGGGCGTGGGATTTGCAAGATTCCCTGGGAAATATTCTCTGAGCAAGATTTTTGTAGAAGCCCTAAAGAAGCTTTTTGCCTCTGAAACAGATACTGAAACGTTTAGGCGTTTCATATCCTTAGACAATGGATTTTGTTGAAATTTGCAAAAAATGACCCCGTAGCGAAGTGTGCCATTCGAAAGCGTGTCAAAAATAGCGCCGAGATTCGTTTGATGCGCGACCTGGTGTGGCTGCTGTGATTTTTGGTAGGTCGGTTCTGACCACCACCACCACACGTAAGAAAGAGTACGTAAAATAGTGGCGAAAAAAGTTTAGTACAAAACCTAGGAGGTCCTGGTTTCGTAGCTAGGATTTTTCGGATTGTGACCTTTCGTCGTTTTGGAGCCAAACGGGGGGCCACATCGAATTATTCGAAAGTTCGCATCAGCCAGACACGCATTTCAGAGTTTCGCCCTGGACTCATTCGAACCGGCTTGAAACACTGATTCTGATGCCATAACTCCCAAAGCTAAAGTCGCGGATGTGGTTTGACATTAGCCTCAGATTTCGGCCTAGGCTAAGGCTTAGACTTAAGTTAGGCTTAGCCGATAATGAGGTGTCAATACTGCGCCCGGTTTGCATAACAATACGCTTTATCGGTACATAAATAATCTTCCTTCCCATCTAGTCAGAAAAGGCCATAGGTTCCCTCCTCTTCCTCGAATGGAACGGCGTGGTCAAGCCGCCACAGACCACCTCGTGCTTGATGCCATCTCTCTGATCGGTCTTCAGGTCGAGGTCCCCCAGCGTCACCCGGGTATTCACTTCTTCGTCGTAGTCGAGCAGCATTATCTGTGTTTCGATGTGGCAGTCCTGAAAAAAATGGATTAGCCAGGATGCGTGGAGATGGAAAGCAAGTTTGCTAGTTTTGTAGTGCTGTGGCTTAGGCTTCGCTTAAGCTTCGGCCTTCGGCTTAGGCTTAGGCTTAGGCTTAGGCTTAGGGAATCCAATTTCGGCGGATTAAGATTTTCGAAAGTTTCGACAAAGTGATTTTCGATAAACTGTTAGCAAATCAATAAATCCTGCCGCTCACCACGCCATGTCTCGGTCTTTTCTCAACGACCCCCGTGTAGCGATTTGTCGTCCAAAAGTATCTTAATTCACGCTAACTAGGAGAGCACGAAAAATTCACTGTGGTCCCAGCTTGTTTTCCATCTCTCTCTGCCTGACCTCGTCGGAGAACATGTGGACTTTGCAGCGATGGTGGATGTAGATGTACGGCCTCAGATAGAAGTAGACGTACTCGGTGACGTTCATTTCGAAGTAGCCACTGCGGTTGGACTGCGTTGTGAACAGGAGGTCGTCAAAGACTCAAAAAAAAAGAGAGCTGACGTCACGGGTATTGAAAAATGATATTTTTTTTCTCTGACACTTTCATAATGTCAAAGTCACAATTTCGAAATTCGGAGTGCTTAACTTTATTAATGACGAAATTACATAATGTCGATTATAAGCGAATTTCCCGTGAAGTGAGTTTTAAGCCAGAAGCAGGCGTATTTTGTACAGAATTTTGCGATGATTCTGAGCCTGTTTTCAGAAACTGCTCAATTTCTGAATATTTTCCTAACCTTTTTATGGCCATTGAAAATGTGCCGTTTTAGGTTTTTTTGGGCTAAAAAGCCTTGTAACTCCTTCACAATGGCCATTTAGAACTTTCACAAACATACGGAATCAGCGAAGAATTCAAAGTAGACCTGGTTCCGACTCAAAACTACATTAACACAAAAAGGCGTTTCCTACAGCCTAACCAACCTGTATCGTCGTCCCACAACTCGACAGGCAGATCGACCGGGTTATCTGTGCCACAGAAAACGGTGCCGTTCACTAAAAATTATTAAATTTACTGGATCATATTAAAAATAGATGCCATTAAACCTAGCCTAAACCTAAGCCAAAGCCTGGACCGGCCTAAGCCTAAGCATAGCCGATCAGAGACTAGGAGTAGCTATTTTAATTGTCCTAACTGTAACTTGTTTACCTGTAATGTTCACGTAGTGGGCAGCAACCGGCCCGATGAGCGACACTAGGAGCAGATATTTTAGCATCATGGTAATGCGATTTCGACCGATTCGCCTTTAAAGGAACGTTTTGACGATATGAATCGCCCGACGTGATTCAGGCAACATAACTTTCCGATGGTTTTTGAGGAGTCAAAATAATGGTTGGGAAATTGGATTTTCCCGCTACTTTTGCTTTGCAACGAGTTTAGATGTTCAGAGAATGAAATCTATCTGAAAAATGTTAAAAATTTCAGAAATAAGACACACAAAAACCTGCATAACTTGCTCAAGACTACGAAAACCCAAATTTTCAGGCTATGTGTAATAGCGGTGTTTACTATGTAGTTGTTGCCATATTTATGCAAAATAAAACCAAGACTAGCAAAAATACTATCCAAAAACCCGTTCGGAAATCTTCTAGATCCTGCATTGCTCCAGGCAGACGACGTGGGGCACCGGGCGCATTGAGTGGTGGTAGAGCGAACCATCGGGACCCATTCGGTTGAGGATTGTGGCAAACTGAAAAAAAAACTACCTCAATTGGCTTTGACAAGCTTAGGTTAGGCTTAGGCTTAGGCTTAGGCTTATGGTTAAGCTTAGGCTTAGGCGTAGGCTTCGCTCTAACTAACCTGCCAGGTCGAGCAACCGCCGAGCGGATGATCGTAGGGATCGCCGGTCTGGACCGGCCTCGAAAATCGGGCCATGATCATGCCATTCTGATATGAGGCGGCGGTCACGCTGACGCTGTTCTAAAAGTCGAGAATTTCGTTTAAGAGGGTCAATGGTTGGTACCGTATCCGGGAACGGGTGGGTGTGTCCTCGTACGTACTCATCGGTCACGTGCACACGTCCGTTCAGCAACCTGATGACGATGACGTCGAGGCCGGAGAACTGGAAATTCGGACTTGTGCGCAGTTTGGTGAATCCCCCGAGGAAGAGCTGAACGCGCAGGGGTTCGCCAGGCCCTTTTAAAGCACTTCACACGGGGTAAAACACACGTTTTCACTGCTCTTCTATGCTCTCGAACTTTCCGTTTTTACTATTGCGCCCCCGTAGTGTACATTGAGCAGAAAAAGGCACTAAAACCCAGGACCGGTAGCTTTTTCTCACCCCCCTCCCCAACTTCCGCCTCCCACGGCTTTTTCTGTCTCCATCCGTTAGCCATAACTTTCCTGCTGGCTAGCTGCATAACCTTGACTCCGGGTCCAGCTCCGCGACACTACTCACTCGGACCGGCTTATCAAATTTGCCAAACCGGGGGACTGTGCAGACCGGGCCGGTGCGACCCCGTAAAAAGTAAACACTCGGCAAATTGGGGATGATTCGACTTGAGAGGGCGAGCGGGGTCAAAAAATTTCTTTGGAAAATTTGGATTTGGGATTGGAAACGATGGTGAGTGGACCTTGTTTGGCAGACGGTTGAGCCAAAACTTGCCGAAATTTGGCAACCTTGATTTTTAAGGAGAAAGGGGGACATCAAAACACCCAAATTTCGTGATAAGGATAAGGACGTTGATAATACAAACATGTTCTGCACAAAATTTGCGATATTTGGCTGGAGTAACCGTTTGAATATCTCTATATCTCTATCTAACTACAGTAGCGGTCAAAAAGATTTCCCCTCGGGAGATCGTTTGGTGTTCGAAAACCACATGCACAAATTTTATGAAACTTCGTGTCTAGGTCAATTCGGCTGCCGGAAATCCGATGGAAACATTGAAATCTACTGAAAATTTGATTTTAATGGTCAAACTTGGATTTCAAAAAAATCTGTAAAATAAACTTTTTCATGAGGGATTTTCTAGTTTCGAAAATGTGTCCATCGTGTTCGCAAGTGTCGAAAACCGCTCATCCGATATCTTACGACATTTTTGCTGCCTGGGCCTGGCCATAATGACGGCCGAAAGTTGCTGTCGCGCGCACCAAAATCCCTTGGATAGGCTTACGGGGGCCAGGAAATGGCCCCGCGGCGACAACTTCTCGGCCTCATAGCAGCGAGCCTCAAAGAGGTACATGTTTTAAAACATGTTCGAGATAGGTTTCTGACCCTTGCGAACACGATGGACACATTTTTGAAAGCCGAAAATGCCTCAAGAAAAATCTCGTTTTACCGATTTTTTTAGAAATCCAAGTTTGACCACTAAAATAAAATTTTCAGCCGATTTAAAGGTCACCATCGGTTTCTCCGTCTCAATTTTGATCTAGAGACAAAGTTTCATAAAGTTTGGGCATGTGGTTGTCGAACACCAAACGATCTCCCGAGGGGACATCTTTTTGACCGCTACTGTATCTAAAATTAATACCTACAAGGAGGAAATGGAAAACTAGTAACGTTAGGAAGCAATGGAACTTTCGAATCAAGCGTTTTTAACTTACTTACCATCGAATTACCAAAACCAATTGCCGTCCACCCGTTCGTGTTCGGAACGCCGGCCAGGACGAGTTGGAAATAAATCTGAAAATTCAAATTTCCAAGAATCAATTCGAGTACTCACATTCTGCCCCATCAACCCATATTGCACTCGGAAATTGCCGGCGGCAAATTCGCAGATGGCCGCAGCGGAGCCTAAAACGAAATAGTAGCTGCTAGATATATTTTAACGCGTCAGCAAATGATGTACTCTGCGTCGCAGACTTACCCCCAAAAAAGACAGCCAACAGCAAAATCGACGTCAGTCCCGGACCACGCATCTTTTACAAGGAACGGCCAAAATTTGGCCGCGACTGTGGGATGCGTGGGAGAATAGCGCGACTGCCGAAGATTTCTCGGGGTGGGCCGGGTCGACTTTTTACGGACGGCGGGAGATAGTCAAGTGCCCGCTCGACTGCCGGGTAGGATCTCCGTTTTTCCGAGTCGCGCTCCCCCTTCCCCGCACCTCCACTATCCCGAATATGGGCAGGCCCCTAAAAAAAGAAATATTGGCTGGGCGCCAACACGGTTCGGAATAAGTTCCGCCTCGATGGGGTCGATTTTTCGGGGGCGGACAATAGGGAAGAAACCTCACAATCCGAGCAGATTTGTGTCTAATCCATTGTACAGAGAAAGTCTGAACCTCGGGGGGGGGGGGGGACAGGGTTCGGAAAGTTCTTGTGTACAAAAACGGAGGAGTGGGTGTGGTAAATTCTAATTCTTGATCACCAAAATACTGCATATAAAAGTCATTAGCTCTTATCATTCGTATTTATAATATTTGGTTTTTTTGAAACAACGGGGTTAATGCTAACCTCAAACTTGGGTAATTAAACCGAAGCTGTGGTTCGCTCGCCGCACTTACCATCTGCCCGGACTCCTGGTGAGCGACTTTTGTACCGCGACAAACTGCTGAAGAACTGTAACTTGCCATTACCATTTTGTGAAGCTATCAACTGTTCATGTAATGATTTTTTAAGGGAACTTAAAGCAATTATTTTTTCAAAAAAACTCTTGACCAAAATACCAAGCCAATTTGTAGAGCACACAATAGGGAAGGAACCTGCAGCCGATTAGCGCCTAATCCATTGTACAGAAAAGATCTGAACCCTCCCGTAGACAGGGTTCGGAAAGTTCTCGCGTACGAAAAGGGGCTATTGGAGACTTTTGGCGAACCTGGCTGCTGATCTCGATGAGGTTTGTTCCCCGGGGACCAGACAGTGTCTCTCTGCTTTTTCTAGCAGCAGATGCTGAGTAGTTATGCCACGATTGCATAGGGAAGCGTCCCTGGTTGCTTCTCTGTACTTTCCTTGTAGTCCTGGAATTTGCTCCCATTCTTGTCTCAAGTGCGTCCAGCAGTGTACTTCAGGCGATCAAAAAAAGAAGTTTCTGGTCTTGACAAAAGATTTAGATTTACGTAGACTTAAAAATTTGGGCTTAAGTAAAGATTCCTTTCTTCCAATTTGCAAAAATCAGCGTTTTATGAGCATAACGCCTTTTATAAAAATAAGATTTACGTATATCCACTTAAAGCTAACTTTCAGGGTCTTATAAGGCTACGTCAGCACCTATTGACGATCGCGTTTCTCTTTGGGTATCTCCGTTCGATGCCCAACTTCAGATCCACTTTTTCGAATCTGTTCCGCGTCAAGTCTCAAGTCATCCGCACCGTTTGTACCATTCTCTGCGAGGTTGACCATCACACACAATGCCATCCTCGACACCTCGCCCCATAAAAACTCGCTTTTTTCAGCTGATCACACCCCGATCGCCCCATAGCAAGAGAAAAACCATTTTTGAAGAGCTGCTAACCATTCCCCTTTTTGTGATCATCTCCTCAAGATCATCCCATCAAAACCATGTCTCATCATGCCCGAATCCTGGCTGGCTCATCAAAAAGGTGTGGCGCCAGTGAAAATCGAAATCAAAGCGAAAATCGCGCAATCCAAACACACAGCAGCAGCTTCCTCACATGCCCATTGTCTCCCCTCGGCGCTCTCTCGCTTGATACCCAGCCGCTGACCAAATTTACACGCGTTTCGTGTGGTGGAGCTGATGTGGGAAGTGGAGATGTTGCCACACCATGTGAGAGGGGAAATCCGTGGGAATGTCGAGACGGAAAGGAATGTCGGCCTTGCAAAGGTTCCGGGGTGAATTTGGAACGTTTGTGCCTGCAAAAAGCAAGATAGCATACAGTACCTTTTTAACTAAGTTACGGTTATGTTTTAACAAAGTTTGTCTGTATCTAAGAATTGCTAATAAGAACAATGCGCAAATAGTATATTTTTCTAATGCATTTATAGGAGGCGTAGTTACACCCCAAAACTGCTCCTTTTGTCTAAGCTTGAATTACCACCTATCACCTATTATTATTAAAACGCGTGCTCAATTTTTGTAATTTTACTACATAGACTGAAGAAAATACTACACTGTGAGACCAACTATGCCAAATGTAGCTACGCGCGACACCTTTACGCGCTGTTTCGTTGTCCACTTTTTGTATATTGCCGGAAAACAACTATTTTTTAATTCATCACATTATTTTAGTTGTATAAAAAGTTAAGATCCTTTCAATATCTATTTTTAGATCGACCATCAACCCACAGCTAGTCTGGCCATCCAAAAAGTGACAGCCCTCCTCGATTGCGATATTAGGAAAGGGATAGCCGTTTTTGCCGGAACTTTCGATCGCTCCCCGCGGGATCCCCAATTATCACAACCTCTCGCGGCCCTCCATTACATCCTCGTAGCTCAAAAATTTACTTTATAAAATGTGAAAAAATCTTTACATCTTTATCCACGCGCAATAAACAGAGGGGCGCCGGTGGGTACGGCACTCTGGGCAACGACAAAAAAAAATAAATACCCGTTACTTTTTTACAGCTGACCAATCGGAAATGGGGGGTCGGGAGGATTGACAAAAATAACGTGGGGAGCTTTTAGCAACTGAAATATTGGCACACCGCACACTAATCTGGGCGAGAGTTTGAAGCTTGAAAATGTAAAATTCGGGCGGAAATGGGGGCAGGGAAAAGTGATATCACGTGTGGAAGGATAGGGGATTCACTTTTAGAAAAAGGGAGCAAAAGACTAGCAAATACAGTGTAACGAGTAAAGGGGGTCATGTCACCGAAATGTGTCAGGGTACACGGCGGAAAGACCTAACGAGTAATGTGGAAAACGGGGGGTCTTTTGCATTATCGGGGGGGGGGATTTCTGCTCAGTTCATTTCGATTCCGAATTTCGGAACCGAATCGAGATTTCGAGTAATCTCGATTTCGTTTTCTTTTATTTACTTTCTTTCTTTTATTTATTTTCTTTACGATCAAATTTGACTATTTGAATAGTTTTAGCAAAATTTCCCATATTTAAAGTGGAAAATTACCTAAAAAACTCTTGAAAATTGACTTTATTCGAAAAAGCATATTTTTGTAAATTGAATGAACGTTTTTTAAAGTTTTAGAGTTTCGAAATTCTAAAAGAGTTTAGAAATAGTTCATGTGGATTAGAAAAACTCATCCTAAAGGAGCCCCCCGCGATAATGCAAGAGCCCCCCAAAAAAGCGAAAATCAGTGCAAATAGCTGGAAACGATATGTTTCTCAGGTAATGAGGAAACTCAGGTTTTGTTCGAGTTTAGGGAGCCTGGGCTATTTCTTTTTGGCCAGCGAGAGGGCGTTGGAGACTTTTGTGACGAGGTTGGAGAAGGGCTTTGATGAGGAGGTCGAGGAAGAGCTCGACTGTTGTGAAGCGTACTCATCGAGGCGTCGATTCAGCGTGTCGTCATTCCCGCAGCCACCGTTCGCGTCGTCTGTGGAGTCGCTGCGCTGCTGAAAAACGAGATTTAATTGATACATAATGACACAAGTTAATTTTTTCAACAACACAAACTAGTTTCAAGCGGACAAACTCTTTTCAAAACTTCGAAAAATGTTTAAAATTTGACATTTCGGGCAAAAAAATCTATATTTATGCATTTTTCTAGCAAAAAGTCGCAAAGTTGCAACGTCTATAAATAGTACAGATGGTTCAGAAGCGCTTCTTACGTCGAAATTTCTGAGAAACCAACCTTCTTCTCCACCCACTCCGTAAACATGGCCGTTTCGCAAAGATACGCAAGGTACGGCCGCATCGACGGGTTCGGGTGCGAGGCGATGAGTTTGGCCTTCATCTTGTCGCCCCATTCCGTGTGAGCGCCCGCCGCTTTGTAGTGCCCGAACAGCAGCGCGTACCAGTGGAGCATCGCCTAAAAAGTTGAGCATGAGCTAAAGGGTTCAGCTCACATTCTCAATCTTCGCGTCAGCCGCCGCGCTCGGTCCACCACCCATCGCGCCCTTGAAGCCCTTCATCAGGTGGCCGGAGGCCTTCTTCGGCATCCCGAGCTTTTTGCAGTAGGCTTGGGCGCTGTTGGTTCGCCAGGCTTCTGAAAATAAGTAAAAACAGTTAAAAAAAGGAAAATGGTAAAAAAATCCATTAAAAAAGCTAAGTAAGTAATAACGATTAAAACGCAGAAAACGACACCTTTATCTTTGCTACAATCAAAGTGTTCGGGCCGCGGGTTGATCTGCCCGTTTTCGATGTCGACGAACATGAAGTCCATCTGGAAAAATAAGTGGTTTCATGCGAAATTGCATCCAAAATTCTACATTTGCCACAACCACAAACGACATTTTTTTACCTGCTTGACTATTGTCTCAAGCATCTCCTTATTAGGAACGTCCTTTCTAATGCCAGAATTAGTAAGAAAAACCTTGAAAATTAATTTACCTGAACCTTGTCATCGTTGTTGGCGTTGTCGATGATCAGCTCGCGAAGTGGGGCTAGGTTGCTTCTGAAAAAAAAACACACAATAGAAAGTCAAAAGTGGAAATTCGAAAGCTTTAATTTTCAATTATTTGCGTCTTAATTCTGCTAAGTCGTTGAGAAATTTCAAGGATCCAGAGAATTAGAGCGAAAGAGTTGAGAGACAGACAAAGGGACAGACAAAAAGTCTAGGGAAACTATCCAACCCCCCTACCCACCCAAAACTAGATTCAATTCCCGGTACCCACTTCAAAGCCTCGAAACCGATCTCTGCCCCCGGCTCGGAATGGTAGACCTCAAAAATCACCAGACGGGGACGAGCCGAAAACCAGGAACCGCAGCGGCCCGGAATAAAGTCATCAAGTGTGGGTCGTCGGGGTGGTGCTGAAGCTCGGAGCGGGTCTTTGCCCCCCGCCACAGAAAAAGCCCGGGGATGAAAATGATGCGGTCGAGCGCTGAAAGGGGCCAACCACCGGCCAC